CCTCTTTAATAAAACAAGACACAGAGTGAATAGAATCGCACCCTTGAGTAGATTACCCAGAATGCCCAAAACCTAATCAGTTCTAAACTTTTGTAGGTAGAAACAGTTTTTGCATCAATTTGAAATGATATACTAAGAAACACACAATCCCAGTATACATATACAGTGAAACCTTTAAAGTGGAACACCTCTAGAAATGAGCACCTCTGTTAGTAGAACACTTTTCAAAGGGCCAAGACCAACTGACTCAATGAGTAGTTTCTTTCTGGGCATAAATACAGTGGTTTTATTAAACAATGTTTTCTTTCAAATGATGTCCCCATAATGATAATAATATCAATCGAACAATTCGGAAAATTATGAATGTCAACATTCTTTTTAAAATGAACCTATTTACTTAAAAGATTATTCAACAAGGGGTCTAAAACTTCTTCAAAAGTAGAATGGTTTGAAAGTAAAGTTTTGAAGATATCATTTTTCGATGACCAAAATTATGCTGAAAACAATGGATAGCATGAGTTTTCCCTCTGGGAAAATAACGTGTGGTTTTTAACTTTAGCCCATTTCAAACCCCATACCCTTTTCAGAAATTGTTAAAATAGTATATTATAATAGAAGAAACATTTGATATGTTTAAATTCAGAAAAACAAGATCCTCTTTTTGGATAACAAGCCTAACATTTTTAGTGCCAAGATGGGGTCCTTATCCATAATTTTTCAGAGTTGGATTGATACTTTACTATAACGGGGACTTCATATATTGTTTTAAAAAAACCATTGTATTTATGACTAGATATGATCATCTAAAATCACTTGCAATACCTGACATGGTCCTTTGGATTGTGGGAAAATGTTTCAAAACTGGGGAAATTAGAAGAGAACTTAGGTTAGATGGGAAAACAGGAGATGTCAAAAAACTCCCAAAATTGAAAGCAGAATTTTGAATTTCAGGCAAATGTAACAAAAACGCTAGAGAAATAAATGCATAAGTTTGAATTACACAATAAACAAAACATTTACTTCTTTCAAAGCCTTGATCACCACCTATAGGCCGCTAAATAAAGTTGATGGCTGAAACTGAAATACTGAGAAATCAGAGCTGCTTAACTTTACATCTAAAAATATGTCCTACATCATAATAATCATATGTTTAACCATTTCACGATTATAGGCTCCATATGGAGCCCTATTATGTAATACCTTTCAGGACAATAGGCTCCTTTTGGAACCATTATTTTTATTTATATACATCAATGAAATGACAATATCTCCAGTTCTATTCAGTAGTTTACACCAAATTTTGACAAGTTGTTTTAATGTGATAACCCTAACTAAAAATTGTATTTCAGTGATAAAAGTCAAGGTATAGGTTCCAGTGCGTAGGTAATTTGCAGTTTTCCCCTAAAAACCACTCTTACTTATCCATCACCAAGGCCAACATTCTCCTCTTATATTCAAGTCGGGAAAGGATTAAGAAAGTCTGTAAGTTACCAGCTGCTCCTGGGTTGATCAGGACTTGGCTTTATCCCTCAGAGTAGACATTTTCCAGCAAAAAATCAAAATGGCACTTTTGACGGAAGTTTACGAAGTTAGCGTACAAAGTTAGTGTTCCAGATCTCCGAAGATTTCTGAACAAACCTAATACATGTAGAAGTAGGATGTAGAGGTTTTCCAGCTCCTCTCATCGCTACTTCCTATCTCAAATAGGATTGCCACCAACGTAGCTTAAAGAGATCAGATCGTCCAAAAGCACAATTAGAGTAACCCCCCTGGTATTTTCATGTTATATGACGTAAAACAAGTATTTCTATCGACTTACCAATGTTGGGGCTTCAGCCAATTCGTTAACAGTATCAATTTGATGATTGTTCACAGCCATAATTTCTACTTACATCAGTAGAAATTCGAAACAAAATTATAATAACCCGCTTCAATGTGCTCCGATCCGTGATTGGCTGTCTGGGCTCAATATCCTCAGAAAATAGCCAAAATCCAACATATGACTGTCAGAAATATGTTGCGATACTTTCCCTCCTCCTTTCCACTTGACAGAAAAAGGAAGATCTTGGTCGAGACAGGGGCAGCTGATAACTTCCAGAATTTCACAAACAAAGCCCAGTGATGTGAGAAACATTAACAATGTTAAGTAAGCAGCTGATTTCAGTTTCAGCCATTACGATTATCTAGCGACTGATGGGGTGCAAGCAAAGACATTTGTATACAGATCAGACAGACTTTGAAAGAGGTATCAGTTAACTTTCAGAGAGAAATGGGAGTGGAAACCTTTGTTCACCCAAATATGGAGCTTTGCTTGGGATACAGGGGGTTAGTTTCCACTATGACTAGTTGACAGTTGTTAATGCTCTTAACGTTTTTGTTATGTTTAATCAAACTATTTGGTTTTTCATATTCATATATAAAATGAAATAAACAATTTCGAATGGATTTGTCTCTAAACTAGTACATAAAAAAAGTAATGAAAGGGGGTATCATAGCTCTCATTGCATACGAACAAGGAGGCGATAACATTACAAAAAATGAAACCACTATTCACCTGCAAAAGATAACAAAGTGAAACAGATTCTGAATAGTCAACTGCTTATGCCCAAGCTGAACTCAGGTTGAACTACAGGCCAGAAGAATTCTTGATGTTGACATAAAAATTATGCTGCATTGTAACAAGGTATTAACATGCAAAATGTCACCACGTCCTGCCATTTGTCTCAGATGCCTAACGGAAACGGCTGAATGCAAAACACAAACACAATCCACAAAAAAGTTGGAGACTATAACAGCATGTCACCACTTTTAGTGGATTAGCTGTGATAATGTCAGTCTGGTTGGTTTGATACAATTGTCTGAACTACTAAGAGTTTCACGTCGGGCCAGAATGAAATATAATTGGTGAATCGGATCTTCAAATTTGAGGCACGAATGTACATGCGTAAGCCTCTCCTTCGAGTGTGTTTTGGCAATGAGACGTAATTAGCCTAGAATCCAATGCGGAACACTTTTCTTGCCTAAATAAACATCCTAGTGATACACAATCATATGATTTCAGATTTTTGATATTCAAATGTTTACTGCTGTTAGATTTACATTTTTGTCGTAAAATAATCGACAGTTGATGGCTCGGACTAATTCTTTAAGAACTTCAAAAATACATGTAAATAATGTAAATAATTATATAAATCAATCAATGTGTTGTGCACATTGGTAAAACTGGTAAAATTTTCAAAAGCGTAGATGAATGATTTCAATGCGAATTAACCGGAGTTTCATGATAGATATTACAACCGCTTCAAATCCAATATGGCGTCAATGTTATTGGTGGCGCAAAATCAAAGTTTGCACTAAAATACGTCACAATCTGGCCCAGTATGTTTATATTAGAACTAACATCTGTATTTGACAACTTTAGCCAGAATTCACTTGCGTAGGACAGGGTCTAGTGCTCAGAATAGTGAAAAACAGCATAAATTTGAAATAATTTTTGCCCCCCCCCCCCCTGGCTATTGGCCTGATGATCTTTATTTATCTATTGTAAGTCTCACTCTAAAAGGAAAAGCAGTTTCAATCATTTTCACAATTTACAATTGAAAATCACAAGGGATTTGATAGATTTATAAGTTTCTAAAACTTTATATTCATCTTTGTTCAAATGTTGTCCATAAAGCTGCAGAAAAGAAATTGAGACCGGATAAGACTTATATCTACTCGTGTTGTCGCGATGTGCCATAATCATACATCGATGCATCGGCAATTTTCAGTAGTAAACATCGATGCACATCAAGAAAAAGTCAGAGAAAAGTGCACTGAAATACCGAACGCTAATGCACTAAAATATTGAACAGAACAAATTAAAAAGAGTACGCTGGTACATCCGGGAACTTCTAGTAACGGTGAAATGAAAGTAAAGTACATTTTTTATAGATTAATGGTTCATTTCGACTAGCTAAAACAGTTTAAAGCGAAAAAAATATCAGAAAACATTGGAAAATGAAATAAGACATGAGAAAGGGAAGCGATTTGCGTCAAAATAAGATAAGAAAGTGTGATATTTAGCAAATTAATTTTTTTTTAAAACATCGATGTTTTGTTTCAGACATCGATGCATCGCCAGAATCAGCTTTGGCGATGTATATCGCGATGTATCGATTAATCGTGACAACACTAATATCTACCTCATCGAATGGAATTTTTTAACATTATAATACTCTGACAGAAATTTGTGTAATCATGACTATGTTGACAATGACACTGTACATTCTGATTTCTGGGCACCAAAGTATTGGCAATGGCTTCAATCTGAAACAGAAAACCACATTTATGGGACATTGCTTATAGAGATTTTAGTTCTACAGATGATCACACTAAGCAAAATACAGTAAGATCACTTCTACTACACTGGTTTCAAAGATGAATATGGGGTGGCAGGGGTGTTCTGGTTAATTGAGATATATATTCATATACATTGCATTTTATAACTCTGCATGAAATGTTAACATACACAACCATTCACTTATCCTTTGACTTTCAAAGTTAAATAAAAATTCTGTAAAATATGTAATATGCAACTGCCTTACAGTATACTACATATTGCTTTATTGCATATTATAATCTGAATCATATGCAAATTGAGATTACAATTATGTATTACATGCACAAGAAGCATATCATATTAGGTCATGTTACACATCAAAAAAACTATCATCGAAATGCTGTTCCTAATTGCCACTGGAATACATACATTATACTATTTTATGCAGATTATTCATTCAATGCACTCAAGACATGCAATGGTGTATCGGAGATACCACGTTCTGTGTAGTACATCTGATACTTTATTTGATAATACCTCAAAGGATATGTCAGTCGGATTATGCACTAGGCAAAAATGACCTATGCTTCTCTATTCTAGTAATGCTTTGAATGAAATGAGAGAATAGCTGAAAATGAAATACATTGAGATTTAGAATCAATAGTAAATTGCATCTCACCCTCACACACGTATCCTTGACCAATCCATCCCCATAACATCTCTGTACAATGGTGACAGTATGTAGGCTTGTGGAACGTCTTTTTAGCGAAGAAATGACCATGCCCAGGGTCCTCATCATCGTCATTTTGATCGTTCCATGTATTGGGCATATCATTATCCAAAGTCGCCATCTTGAAAATAATGTCCCGATTCAGGCAAAGATTTTGCCTGCCTCTGATTTCCTTGTTAATCCTTCATTTGTCCTGCATTTAGATCAAAGATAGAACTTCCAGATACTATCCTCACCTCACGCTAAACAACTAGCCGTTTACCGGCATTTTTTGTTTGTTATTTGCCAAAATCTGGTCACTCATCAAACCAAAATCTGGCGGAAATGAAAAGTTAGATTCCAAAACGAGGTTAAATTTATTTAATCCGCGAAGCAGTTGGTGCTTGACTGTAATTTATGCAAAAACTATTTTTTGCATTATCTTAAACTCAAGATGCAAATTATAGAAATGACCTTATATCATCCATTATTTATTGTAACTATTAGAATGGTGCTGAAAACTTCTAAATCTGACTAATGAATGAGTTATTTTTCGTTCCATATAATTTTTGGTGGGTTTGTTTTTAGAGCATACTTCCGGTTCAGGCATGTGGAAAATTTAAAAAATATATCCAACGTTTGTTAGATTTTGGAGGACTTATACTCACAATCAACACTTATTTTTGAATTCTTCATATAGCTGTCTGATAGGTAAGGTATTCTATCATAATTTCTGCATAAGATATTCACTATTATTTGCAAAAAATGTTGCTGATGTCGGTTGTATTTTTTCTCCAACTGACGATCTCTGATCTTACCCATAGACTTACTTGCTGCGAAAGCTATGTGGGTTTTGATATAATAGCTTTCCCACGGCGCACTTGGACAGCTGAATAATAGTGACCTTTAAAACATGAATAATGAGATCCGCGGCTTACTTTTGGTCTCTAACTGTGTCTAAAGTGGGGTGCAAAAATCAATCTCAGCTAGATTCTAGTTTTCATGGCCTGAGTTCGTCGCTAACATGCTAAATATAAGAGTTAGCTGACCTTTCGGAGTCTGACTTACCTTCTAAAGGTTAGAACCCGAATCTTAAGGTAACGCTTAAGTTAATCTAAAGTACAATAAAATGGCAGGCATATTTTTTTGACTAAGTCACAAGATTTTGTTTTCTGTTTTCCTTATATGTGAATGCATTTCCTGACTAAAGAGACATGTCAAAGAAAGCTTCACATTTAAACGCATTTTTTTTAATGCTGAATTGGAGGTGCATGGGTCCCTAAAGCTAGCATGGAGACGGTGAAGTGAGGATAAAGTTTTAAAATTTCAAGGAGTAGGATTGCAATGGAGACACATTTGTAAGACTCCAAAATTTCCACAAATCATAATACCTTACCAAGGAACACTGAAGGAGCATTAAAATATGTACTTCATGCATTGTTAGAGTATAATAAAGCTCAAACCAAAGTAAATTCTAAATATTTCATGTCCACTATTTTGTTTGCTGGGACTATTTTCTAGTCCAAAATAATCCTCACTCATGTATCCATTGTTTACATTTAAAAAACATCAATTATGTATCTATAAAGATTATCATACTGTTATATATAAAGTATACTAGTGATAATCCATGCCACTTGGTGAAGTCACAAAAAGTTACAGGAAGTCTAGAAGTAGTTCCGGCAAGAAAAATGGTAGACATGAAATATTTATCAGAAACTATGGTTTGAGCTTTATCATACTCTAACAATGCAAGAAGAGCACATTTTCATGCTCCTTCGATGTTCCTTGGTAAGGTAAGATGATTTGTGGAAATTTTGGATTCTTGCAAATGTTTGACTGTTGCAAGGCTACTCCTTCAAACTTTCAAAAATTAGCCTCATTTCACGGTCTTAATGTTAGCTTTGGGGACCCATGCACCTCCAATTCATAGTTATAAAAAATGCGTTTAGAAGTGAAGTTTCTTTGACATGTCTCTTTAGTCAGGAAATGCATTCACATATAAGGAAAACAGAATACAAAATCATGTGACTTAGTAAAAAATATATGCCTGCCATTTTTTTGTACTTTTGATTAAGTAAACGGTTACCTTAATGAAACCATATCACCTTTGTTCCGTCAACCATGGAGCATTTGCCACAACAGGTTAGTCATATAAATCTGACCCTCGTATGATGTTATCTGTTGTTATTTTTTCTGATTTGGATATTTATTTTTTCTTATTTTCTTGCATACCAGCGTCATACACACTTCCCTCATCTAAATTGCGGGAAATGCTTTCCTGGCCTGTCTACCCAACCAAATTCACACAAATGATAAATAAATTTCTTTGCTTCAACTATTGAGTATTTAATCTTACCTTAGGCACGTAAAACGCTTGGTAATTGAAGAAATATAAGCATGCCGCTTGAATTTTAAAAAATTTTCATTTTGCCATACCAAGGTCACTTCCGGGTTCATCTGAGTCTAGATGTAAACTACATCAAACGAAATCATAAGTATTTGTTACAAGAAGATTCAGTTGAAAGGGAAGCAGTGTCGTTAAGAAGGGAAGTTATTTAGAAAAGTTATTGTTTCAAAATGAGAAAAGTGATAAGTATGAGAGAACGGCTTTGGAATCGATCTCTGCGTAATAAATAATTATGATTTCGTTTCGATACATGTTTTACATTTAGACTACCGGAAACAACATTTAACAACATGGCGGGCGATAATGAAAATATAATTCAATTGAATATACTTCGTCAATTATCAAGCGTTTTACATGTCTAAGGTAAGATTTAACACTTTGATGTTGGAGCTAAATAATTACTCGATAATTTGTGTGACTTTGGTTGGTATGGTAGCTATGGTTACCCAGACAGGCCAGGAAAGCGTTTACCGCAATTTGTTCCATATAATATCTACGACCGTATATGCAAAGAAAATGATAAAAAATAAATATCCAAATAAGAACTAGGAATATCGAAGAACAGCATATAACGGTCGGATTTATATGACTACAACAGGTAAATCATGGACCGTGAAAATGAATCATTTCCTTGTAAGTTCCGGAAGTTTCAATACGAAAAATTGCCGAACATATGTGAAAACCGAATATTTGTTTGTTGTTTTCACGATTCACAGGTTCGTTTGTTCTTCAATGTTTTGGTCTAAATTATAAAGCATCACCAACAGGTCTTACTCTATTAATCGACTAATACAGCAGACGGCTCATATTTTTACGTAGCATTTCGTTCAGACCAATAGTGGGAGTGTAGATCACACAGTTTTGTTCGTTGCGGACTTCACTTGAAATTTGTAATTTTAAATATTGGCTACTTCACTTAGCTTGGCGGATGTAGAACATTGCTTAATATTCTTTTAATTTTCACACCAGACATGCTTGGTTGACACGTCAACAAAGTAAAGTTCAAGGGTCAATGCCTTATTTCGTGATAACTACAACGCCTTCCCGGAAGTCAACATTGATGAAAAATGAAAAAGTTGGAAAAGCATTTACACTAATTTCTATCAAATGCTGTGTTTATGCATCATCATCGATGCAACAAAGGTGATATGGTTTCATTAAGATTCGGGTTCTAACCTTTAGAAGGTAAGTCAGACTCCCAAACGTCAGCTAACTCTTATATTTAGCATGTTAGCGACGAAGTCAGGCCATGAAAACAATTCTAAATTCCAAGTTTCGTGTCTCAAACTCTCCCAAGCGGAAGAAATATAATTCCCATTGACTTTAAGTAGCACAATAAATGAATCCAAAGCTTCATACCTGCAAATGATGGATAAATCCCTACCAAATCGAAGGAATGTTTTCATGAATCGCCATGTTTGTGATCCTAAGATTTAAATGTATTTTACTCGGCCTTTACTCATTATTTTACGATTTTTCCTATAACTCGAAAAGTAGTGGAGCGATTTTGTTCATATTTGGTATGTGAATACTATAAGCATGGCACACTGTCTAATGACACTTTTGGTAGAAGGCGACCATTATGTCACCATTTTGAAAAATTTCCACCATTTTAAAGTATTTTACTATAACTCGAAAAGTAGTGGAGCGATTTTGTTTATATTTGGTATGTGAATACTACAAAGAAAAAGCATATTACTTCTTCTGATGACAACTTGGCTAGTAAGCAACCGTTTTGAAAATGGTGGCCTTTCTTATGTGTGTTATTTTATGATATTTGCTATATATTTCGTTTGTAAAAATGCCAGCCATTTCTGTTCGATGGGATTTGCTACGCTTTGGCGTTGCCGTTGTCCTGGTTCTTTATGGTGAGCACTGTAGTTACATCAGTATCATCAAGGCATCATCAATCCGTGCGAGTATTGGAGCGCTGAAACACTTCTTTTTTGATCAAGACTTGTAAATTGTTCATCGAGTGAATGTTTTTTCGACCCATTTCCAATATGGCGGTTTGCTAGTAGTGAGATACGCAACAAACAAAATGAATTTTGAGAATGAGTTAGGTTCGGACAACCTCCAGAGATGTACGAAAATGTCCGAGCAGAAAACGCCATATTGGAATTTGGCAGAAAAAACATTCACTCGACTAACAATTACAAGTCTTGATCGAAAAGGAAGTACTTCAGCGCTCCAATACTTGCACGGAAGGATGATAATGATGTACGACATAGTTAGAGAACAAAAGTAAGCCGCGGATCAACTTAATTCATGTTTCAAAGGTCACTATTATTCAGCTGTCCATTTCTTTGTTGGAGAGCAATAAGTTTCAAAATCTAACATGGCTCTCGAAGTGAGGAACCCTAGACTGTATCCTTCGACTGAATAAATTCAGACTGTAAGTGACCTATTGTAAAATGTGGTGTTGAATAAATATTACCATAAGCTTGTATGATGTTAAAAAGTCGGTAGACCTTGAAATATAAGAGTTACCTGAAGATTACTTACTTACTTACCCTCTAAAGTGGGGAACATAAAGAATTACTATATAGCTATAAAAAATACATACTGTCACACATGTAATACATTCTTACCTCAGTGTATTCAGTGCTCTATTTTCTCCATCCTAGTAAGTCCAAATAAAGTGGAATTTGTGTCCATAATGACAAATAAGAACTTAAAAAGTTGAAGTGGATATTCACGTGTAAATGTAGACTCTTCAAATGTTGAGGCGATTTTGGACCCCAATTACGCCGCAAGGAGGATTGGCTCCCAGAATGCAACATGACAAGTGCCAGCTTTCAAAATGCCATTGCGCCATTTTGAAAACTGCCATGAGTAAATAAGTTTAACCGATGTTGCATTCTGGGAGTCAGTCCTCCTTGGATCACAAACATGGCGATCCATGAAAACATTTGTTGATTTGGTAGGAATTTATCCATCATTTGCAGGTATGAAGCTTTGGATTCATTTATTGTGCTACTTCAAGTGAATGGGAATTATTTTTCTACCGCTTGGGAGATCCATAACCGGATCTGTTCGTGACGTCATGTTTTTTCCCGGAAAATCTTATTTTGCCACTAATGAACAAATGGAATGAGTTGAGAGTCTGTTGGAATACTATTTTTACTTGCCAATATCTGTTTAATCTATTGTAGTGAGAGAAAAAATAAACAGAACTTACCGAATTAGCACTTTAATTTTGAGAAACAAATGTCAAAAATAAGAAAAATCCTCAAAATAACCTCACATTTATGGGGGTAGCTAATCTTAAATTATTCTGATAGATCTTGATCTAAGATTCTTATTCTTGAATTTAGACTAGTCTAAAATGTACAAGGGATATGGATGCAATGGCATATTCCCAATGATTGAGTGGCCACGAAAGTAATTTCAGAAAAAATATTAGGCTTAATATTTTTCATAAACAGAGTTTCGGCCATTTTTATTAAAAAAATGTTATCTTTGATAACTCAAATCAGTTGCCGTAGGGGTGTAGGACCTCACCTCCATAAAGAATTTTTTTGAATATGGCCTCTTAATTCAAAATGGCAGCCATTTTTGGGAAAAAATATCATCTTTGATAACTCAAATACTAGTGGATGGATTTGGTTCAAATTTTACATGCTGCATGATGCCTAGGAACTCTGCTCGAGAAGGGATTTTCAAAATGGCAACTAAATTTCAAAATGGCCACCATTTATCGTAAAAAAACGTAATCATTGATAACTCAAATACCAGTGAATTTGGTTCCAATTTTATATGCTGATGTTTAGGGAAAAATGAGATCTGCTTCAGAAGAAATCTCAAAGGCGTCAGCTGAACTTTAAAATGGCTGCCATTTTTCATAATATAACTCAAATACCATTGGATGGATTTATTTCAAATTTTATATACTGATGCATAGAGATAAAGGAGCTCTGCTTGAGAAGAAATTTTCAAGGTGGCTGCTATTTATCGAAATCTCCGCCATTTTTCATTAAACATGTAATCCTTGATAACTCAAGTTCAAGTTGACGGATTTTGATTAAATTGTATATGCTGATGCCTTGGGACATAGGAGCTCTGCTAAAGAAGAAATCTAAAGATGACAGCTGAATTTCAAAATGGCAACCATGTTTCATAAAAACATAATCTTTGATAATTCAAATACTAGTGGATGGATTTGGCTCAAAGTTTATATGGCTGCTATTTATTAAAACATGTTTTGTTCGGTGGGATTTGCTACTCCGTGGAGTTGCTGTTTTTCTAGTTGAAATTTTAAAACCATTCTCTTTTACAATGTCAGAGGCCCAATGTCCATTGCACAAAACAAGCCACATTCTGTTTATATTCTCATAACATGCATTGGCAAGTGTGACCTTTAATCGTGAGGAAGATTGTTGTGTAATGGCTGATGCAGCCTGTTAAGATCTCCTTGTACCTAATCTTGTCACGTTAGAATCAAATATGCTGCCATTTCAAACTTTGTAGTTCCAATAAAGGTCAAGGTCAAGAGAATTAATTTTACTCTCAACATTTCAGATAAATTTAGTTGATTTGTTGCATAAAATAACACCGAAAATGCAAATTCATTTACCAGTTGCAAAAATGTAGGTTACTGAATTTACATCTCTTTTACATATCTAGAATATTTGTGAGCGCTAATCTAATAATCTAGATAGATTTCATGTCCTCTTTGTACAAAGCTAAGAGATGTAGATTATGTATAGAATGAGTTATATGTATGTGAAAGTAACATAGGAGTCTGATATGAAGTCTTTATAATTTCTGAACATGCATATCTACCTTAAACTGGACATTTTATTAACTAGCATAAGTTCATTGTGCAATTCTTGTGAATTTTAGTTGAGGAAGAACAATGAAGAGAAAAAGAGAAAAGAGTTCTCAATCTGCAGATACATCAATAGACAATAGTAAGTATAAATTTCCAGGCTTGTAGGCTATAACAACTGTCTTCATCAACTTGAACAAGGTTTTATTGGTCAAATCTAAAAAGTTAAAACATATAGAATAGGGCAGAAAAATTGGGAATTTTTTTAAATAAGAGAAGCATTTCAGAATGTTGTTTGGAAACAATGTATATAGACACTAGACAGAGATTTGTTGAATCAGATTTGAGATCTGTTTGCTTTAATTGCATGAATTAAAATGAATATTTTTTATTTCAATTTGTGTATTGTTTTTGTTTTCTGTTCGTTTAATCCTATTTGTTTCTGTACAGCTGGTGCGTCATCATCAGCAGATACCGGCCACAAAGTAAAGAAACTGAAGAAAAAGAAAAGTGAAATGACTCCTCTTAACTCCACCTTGGACTCAGGTTCAGGTATGTTGTGTTCTTTGTTGTTGTTGTTTTTTAAGTCATATTACAAATACATTTACACTTACATTTTGTATATTTACACTTACATATTGTACATTTACACTTACATATTGTATATTTACACTTACATATTATACATTTACATTTACATATTGTATATTTACACTTACATATTGTACATTTATACTTACATATTGTATATTTACACTTACATATTGTACATTTACACTTACATATTGTAAGATCGGTAATGCTATAGTTGTTTTACAGACACACATTTTTCCTTAAGGAATGTAAAATAAATACTGCAATTTCTACAATACATATGCTAAATATACAATGTAACAAATATTGATAACACTGTCTAAATAATTAAGACACTGTGAACTGATCATTGTAACCCAAAATTATTTTTCTATAATTTTTATATTATATTCAATGATTCATGAGCCAGATTTGAGGTTTGTTTGCTGAACTGCATAAACTGAAATTAATATCTTAAATTTCAATTTACATTGTTTTTTACCTACGTGGGAATGTTCATATAATCCTATTTGTTTCGGCACAGCTGGTGTGTCATCATCAGATACCAGACACAAAGTAAAGAAACTGAAGAAAAAGAAAACTGAAGTGACTCCTCTTGACTCTACTTTGGACTCAGGTATGTTTTATTCCAACTGGTTTTTAACAAATATAACAGTTATTATTTTTTCGACAAATATAAAAAGTTCTATTGATACAATTGAATACAGGATGATCACTAAGTTCTGGGAATTTATCTGTCATTTCATTATTTTTATCCCATCGAACGAAGTTCGGAGGGATATAGGGAACGCCTCCGTCCGTCCGTCCGTACGTACGTCCGTCCGTACGTACGTCCGTCCGTACGTACGTCCGTCCGTACGTACGTCCGTCCGTACGTACGTCCGTCCGTCTGTCCGTCCGTCCGGGCAATAACTCAAATACCGTTGGCCCGATTTTGTTCATATTTTGTACACATATACCTTATTGGGGTAGAAGTTCTGCTCGAAAGCCGATTTTCAAAATGGCCGCTCATTTCAAAATGGCGGCCATTTTAGTGCCGATTTTACAGTAATTTAGGTGCAATATGTAAAACTGTTATATCAATATGTTTTAAATGTAAAAAAATTATAAAGGACATTAATAATGCTACAAATGTAGATATTAAAGAAGCACATGGCAGCCATCTTGAAAAATGGCGGCCTTTACTCGTCATTTTACGATCTTTGCTATAACTCAAAAAATAGTGGAGTGATTTTGTTCATATTTGGTATGTGAATACTATAAGCATTGTACACTGTCTAAAGACACTTTTGGTAGAAGGCGGCCATTTTGAAAAATGGCCGCCATTTTAACGTATTTTACTATAACTCGAAAAGTAGTGGAGCGATTTTGTTCATATTTGGTATGTGAATACTATTAGCATGGCACACTGTCCTATGACACTTTTGGTAGAAGGCGGCCATTTTGAAAAATTTTATGAAAAATGGCCGCCATTTTAACGTATTTTACTATAACTCGAAAAGTAGTAGAGCAATTTTGTTCATATTTGATATGTGAATACTTTAAGCATGGCACATTGTCTAATAAAACTTTGGGGAGTAGTCGGCCATTTTGAAAAATGGCCACCATTTTTATGTGTGTTATTTTACAAGTATGTGTGCGATTTTTCAAAAATTTTAGAGGTGGCTACTGAAAAGCATATTATTTCTTCTGATGACAACTTGGCTAGTGAGCAACCATTTTGAAAATGGTGGCCTTTCTGGTGTGTTGTTTTATGATATTTGCTATTCGTTTGTAAAAATGCCAGCCATTTCTGTTCGATGGGATTCGCTACGCTTTGGCGTTGCCGTTGTTCTGGTTTAACCAGTTTACTTGAAATTTTCAAGGTAAATGGGGATTGTGATTTTGGATTGGATAAAACAGTCTCATTGTCATCTGATGTCACAATGGATTATTATTGTTACTATAGCAACATGACAAATGGCGTAGCGGGTCAAGTAAAATAAAAATGAATTCAAATTTTACTTGATCCAAAAGTATGGTTAATTAATACCTATTTGGTGGACATATTATAATGATATTTCTGTGATTTTTATTATATTTTTAAATACCTCTAACTTTAGTTTCTAGAGTAACTTCTGTATTATGATATACAAGTGTACTTTGCTCTATTTTCTTATCATTCGTCAGACTCTCAAAGTCACAATCATGACTCAAAATAGCGGGAGTTATCCTCCATTATGTCTATGCTCCTCCCCACTCCTCAAACTGCCCATACTGCTCTTGAAGAATTAGGGTTCACACAAATTGTTACTGCCCCATATTCACCTGACAATATTCACCAGATGAAGCACCATTGGGCTTCACTACAATTTGGGTGCTAAAGCATCATATGAGAGGTCATATGTTTGATTTCAACGGCTTGAGCAAATCTTCAAGGGATACCGAAAGGGAGGTTTAGAACACGTCTTTATGGACTAGGTTTGTCAACAATGCATTTGCGTCCAGGCTAATGGAAACAATTATAAATGAAATGATCCTCTCAGCAATTAAGAATACTTCTGAATAAATGATTTCAAGAGTACTGTTCTGCCTCTAGTATGAGTAGTTTGAAGCAACCATCTAGGCAAGATGAATATGTTTGGCAGGAAATTTTCAGACTAACATCAGTCAAAATTTGCTGACTGCGGACCACTTTTACTTTTTTTAGAAGTGATATGTTTATAAAATATTGTCTGTCAATTCAGAATTAAACATTGTACACCTGCTGAAAAATTCAACTCAAATGGTTGAGAAATCTTGAAATGGCAGACCAATTCCTTTCTAATTGAAGTTGCCAATCTTTGTTTTCTCAACATTCCAACTCCTTTTGAGTTGAATCCTAATATGTCATAATATAAGTGAATTATATTACAGAGAATCCTATGAAATCTCCCATACTGCCCAAACGAAAAAAAGTTAAGAAGGAAAAGAAGCTCAGTCAGGGAGAAAGTTCATCAAGCGATCAACGAGAAAGTAAAGCAAACAATCAACAAGAGGCTGAAGGTGCCAATCAAGAAGCAACTACATCAAACAATCAAGAAGCACATGATTCTACTCCAGATGAAACCACAAGTACTTTACTTTTCTCAATAAACCTTTCCAATAAACCCTGCCACCTTTTGGTACATCAAAGAAGCTATTGGCTTAATTGATGATGTCATTGGTTGTAGGTAGCAATATGCCTGTCACCTTCCTTTTGGTATATCAAATAAGCCATGATATATTGACTAAATTGATGATGTCAGTGGTTGTAGGTAGCAATATGCCTGCCACCTTCCTTTTGGTGTATCAAATAAGCTATGATATATTGACTAAATTGATGATGTCATTGGTTGTAGGTAGCAATATGCCTGCTACCTTCCTTTTGGTATATCAAATAAGCTATGATATATTGACTAAATTGATGATGTCAGTGGTTGTAGGTAGCAATATGCCTGCCACCTTCCTTTTGGTATATCAAAGAAGCTATGATATATTGGCTAAATTGATGATGTCATTGGTTGTAGGTAGCAATATGCCTGCCACCTTCCTTTTGGTATATCTAAGAAGTTATGATATATTGGCTAAATTGATGATGTCATTGGTTGTAGGTACCAAGCCCAAGTAAAAAATAGGATTAACTTATTGCTATTTTTAGATAAGGTAGAACCAATCCCATCATGAACCAATATATCATAGGTCCTTTGATATACAAATAGTTGGCGGGGTGTATTGGATACTGTTACTTAACACATATTTTAAAGAAGAATTCCTCATATATTCAGGTTATTTTGATAATTAGTCATAGTAGATTTATTTATATACAGTAAAACCTGTATATAGTGAACCCCTATAAAGTCACAAAAAAGTGTTCACTATAGGTAGGTGTTCACTACAGAGAGGGTTTGATACAGGAATTGATGTAAAATATGTATTGGATTGGTGTTCAGTAAACATAGGTGTTTACTAGAGAGAGAGAGCTGCTCACTAAGACAGGTTTTACTGTATTGCCCATATTTTTTCACAAATGCATATTCTGATTAAGAATGTCCAAATCAGGGGTCCAAACCTCAGTTTTGGCAATGGACTTAGAAAATCTGATCAGTGAACTTTAGGGTGATAAAATGAGTGACAATATGGTCAATTGTGGCAATCACATGGGCGTATATTTTGAGTTGGTACGCACACTTGAGGATTGCGTGGCCGAAGGCCGCGCATCTCGGGGGGCATGCTCCCCCGGGAAATTTTTTTCAAGGTAGTTATTTGATGGAATCTGAGTGTATTTATCAACTTTAAATAGTTATTTTCTGATAAAACTAAATCGTTGTATATCCAATTTATAACATGAATGTTGATACTAACCTTCCGATATAAATAACGCTAGCCCAAAAATTATTTTCTAAACTTGATATTCTAATCTCAGGTTATCGCATCCTACGACCCCTTTAGATTGTGGTCGTAGGCCCGATTCATTAGTAAGCCTGTGTTTCTACAATGTCGGAGAATGAACTATGCATTGCACACATAAATGACCTACCTCGATACATTCCTGAGTATTTTAGAATTCTTTTCATATAGTTGAATCGCAAATTGTATGGGTTTATCGGAAGAACGAAGATATTTTCGTTTTTGATAGCAATATTTGCGTGTATGTTCAACCGTCAAATTCCTCCATTCAGTTCCCGGCATGCACCAGTCATAAGGGAAATCCCTGGGGAATTCCCCTTCCGACATTTTGAAAATTGCTGAGATATTTCCGATGTAAAAACTAAAATCTCTTCGTTCTGACGATAAACGCGTACAATTGGCGATCTAACAACATAAAAAGAATTTTAAAATACTCTTGAATGTATCGAGGTAGGTCATTTATGTGTGCAATGCATAGTTCATTCTCCGACATTGTAGAAACACAGGCTTACTAATGAATCGGGCCTACGACCACAATCTAAAGGGGTCGTAGGATGCGATAAATCTCAGGCACTTATTCTTTGAATGGATTTTCAACTGTTAATTTTAACTGGGTGCGCTATTGTCAGTGCAAGGACCATAACGGCATTGAATTCTTCCATTTAGATGCTACATGGACAAATGAGGAGAAAAATGCTTTGGTGACATGGGTCACAGAACAACTTCCCAAGGGGGATGATCAGGGCTATGTGGCTAGGATCAACCACCTTTCCTGGGAAGACATCAACATAAACAACCATACTCCTGAAGAATGTTGTCAAAAATTTGTTGAAATCACTTCAAAGGTAGGATCATAAGTGTAGCTATAACCTTGTATAGTCTTCAACTTTTTGTGAATGGTGTTAGATGGTTGGTGTTTGACCTTCAGTGGTTGACGTCTGTAACATAGCAGGCCTTGTGATCAATTTTTTGTTCTCAAAGTAGGTTTTTAAAATTAGTAGATTTTTTTTCGAATGAGTGTATTAGTTAAGTTGGATTGAATCTTTATAGAGAGAGTTAAATTGAACATGTTGTTCACAGAGTTCATTGTATTTCTAATTGTCATATACAAGGGTTGTTCAATAAATACTAATACATTTTTTTCTTTGTAGATCAGGAAGAGCAGAAGTTTGTCTGAAATCTTAAAAGATTATAATGATGACAAACAGAAGATAGTCCGCCCAAAGTCGGCAGTAAATTTGTTCATCGAGAGCAAATTAGAAAAAATGCAACAGGAAGGTTGCAAGGTTATTATTCTTTCACTTTTTTATTGTCATTTTTTCATATATTAAGTTTACAGTTTGCAATACATGTTTAAAGCATACACATTGTTGGCAGGAGGTAAAGATAAATATTCTCATATAAAATGTGAAATCAAGTGAAGATAATCATATTTTAAAGGCAGAATTTATACATGTACAATTGATCTATCAATATATCCCTTACAATCTCAAATATGATATCTGCCAAAAGATCAGGGCTATAATATTAATTGGTGAAGTTATTAGGATTTTAAGTGCAAAAGGGGGGGGAAGTGTTTAAATTCTTCCTAATTATAAAAATATGTACCATAATGTTAGAAAATGGAAAAATAGTTCATTATTGTGAAACTCTTTAGTTTTCCTGGAATAAAATGTTTTGATTTTTGTTAACAGATTTCAAGGAAGGATGTGGCACATGAACTTCAGGAGAAATACAAAGGAATGCCAAACAAGAAGAAATTAAAATGGATAAGGAAGGCTCTTGTCGCCAAGGCACAGTTTGATGTAAGTTACAATATTATTCCATCTATACTGAGAAATATCAATAAGAATCTTATACCACTAAATGCAACAAGCAAGTAAATATTTTTATTGAAAGCCTCACTCAGTCAGTTTTATATGTGTCATTTTTGCCTTTCTGGTCATTTCATTGATATTTTAGATGTAAATACACTCAAGCATAACGCATCACTTTTTATCGCACTTTGAAAAAGTGCTATATTGCCGTCGTCTTGTGCTGTTGGGCGGGCGGGACATAAACCAAATCTTGTCATCAAATTTCCAGGATAACTGCTTACCTGTTCAACTTGAAATTTTTACAGATGCAAGAGCAGACTAGTACCAAGATCTGATTAGGTCAAGGGCATGCTGGGTAAACTAAGTGGGGGCCATTTTGAATTTTTCAACAAATCTTGTCATCAAAATTCCAGGAAAACCACTTATCCGTTCAACTTGAAATTTTTACAGATGCAAGAGCAGACTATTGCCAAGATCTGATTAGGTTTTGGGCATGCTGGCTGAATTACATGGTGGCCATTTTGAATTTTTCAATTTGGCGGCCATTTTGAATTTTTCAACTTGCTCCAAATTGACCAAATTTTTTTTAAAAACATCTACAAGTTCTCAGAAGTTCAAATCTGACCTTAGATTTCAGATTTGACCGTTCATTCACCTTCAGTGACCTTGAAAAGGTCAAAAAAGTTGATTTTCTAAATTGATATTTTGGATTTAAATTTAGGTCAGCTTAATTACAAAACACCTACTGAGGTCTGAAAAAGTTAAATTTTCAAGGTGGAAGGTCATCAAATTAGGTCACAAACGATGTTATCTAAATTTTCCCAAAGTTCCAGACTACAAATAAATTCTTGTCATCAAAATTGCAGGAAAACCGCTAACCTTGTCAACTTGAAATGTTTACAGATGCAAGAGCAGACTAGTGCCAAGGTCTGATTAGGTTTTGGCCATGCTGGGTAAATTGCATGGTGGCCAGTTTGCTCTTCAAAGTGCGATATTTATCACTGTGTGTCTTGTTGTCCTTCTCTTTTGGTGGCTGTTTTGAGAAATGAGTTTTGCTATGAGGTTTGACTATTTACAGAAAAAATATTTGAACCAATGTCTATTGATGGTGGAAATTTTTGACGATTATGCTTTTAGTAAATTTTGAATTAATTCAATTGTAATTGTGAGGTTAATGTGTTTAAAGGCTGAGATTGCAGAAAAATGTGAAAGTGACCCAAAGTTTAAACCCCCTAATGTCCCCGACCACAAAGCAGATTGGAAAATTGTAGAAGAAGTTTGTGGAAAGCCCAAAAAAACATTGTGAGTAAACAGTTATTAGGATTATAAGATATGATTAGTCACATTTTTGTGGAGGTAAGGGAACAGTCTGAAATGTGATTGATTAAATTTTGGGACAACAATGAAATATTAAAGGTGTAATAAATAAATAAAATATTGGTGTGGTCTCTGTACTACAATGAGTACTCTGGGTATGTACTAGAAAGCCCCTGCTCTGGTTTATGGTACTTAGTTGCACACAGGGGTTTCACTAGAATTTCTCACAACAGGCTAATAAATGAAAACAACAGGCAAATTAATGGAAATCATAAATTTAACATGGAAAAGTTTTTTTTTACTTTTACTCAAAAAGTAATGGAGCGATTTTATTGAGATTTTATTTGTGCCTCATACACTTAGCATATTACACTTTCTTATAATACTTGGGGCCATTTATTTCCATGTTATTTCACAATTCTTTTACTGTAACTGAAAAAGTACTGGAGTGATTTTGTAAATACTGTAATTGCCCTAATAAGGGCCCACCCCTCATAAGCGCCCACCCCCCTGCACAGAGCTCAAGAGGAATGACCAAGTATTAACGAAAATATCAGAAAAATCAAATTTCCAAAGAAATATAGTGGGTGATAATACTGACACTAAAATGCAGAAAACATGACGCATTTTGTCAATCGATGCATCCTCCTGATGAATATCTATCAGTGGGTGCTTCCCACATCATACTAAGCTAATATTATCTCAAATAGTCCATAATGAATGAAGGAAATGATCAAGTTTCAGAGATTTGTTACGACATTTTAGTAACTCAGCGATCATCAAGATCAGTCAAGGTCGTAAACTTTCTTGTTTCTTTTTAAGATTTCTCAACTTTAACATGACTTTTACACGAAAAATTATGATCTGTCATCAAATTAGAAAAAACAAGGTATAACTTTAGATCGATATCTAAGTCTAAAGTGGAAATATTGAAGATAATTGCGGAAGACAATTCCTTCACTTCGAGGGGCCCTGCTGGGGAGTTCTTCAATCACTGTCAATATAGTTAGATTCTTGCTTTATTTTAGCAATCTTTACTGTATTCTCTCCAATAACGATACATATCATTATTGTAAAAATATGCTGTCACTTTCGTTACAAATAAGGCCTTTTTGGCAAGAAAACTTCCCATACATGAAATTCCTGGGGATTTTTGACTTCTCTCATACATGGGCGGAATTTCAATTTCAAAACACCCTGGGCACTTATTACGACAAATATGGTATGGCAGCCATGGCTGTTGGATGGGATTTGCTACGTCTGAGCAATGCTGTTATCTAGTTTTTGTCTCTATATTTAGGAGTGGCTACAATTTTTTTACTACAGACAAGCTAAATGAAGGTGTAGCTATGTCTGAGATAGGAAAACTATGGAAGGAGATGGATGCCAATCAACAGGCTGGTTACAGCAAAATTGCTAAAGAGGTAATAAGCTGAAGGGGTAACTGGACAAAATGTCTTAATCATTTATGGTACTAGTTACTGTTAGTCACATAGCAGTGTGAAAATGCTTCGTAACAAAGGATTTTTCTGTATGTGCTGCTTTTCAAAATTTTTCATTAACCTTTACTATCTGAGTAACAAATGGCAGGTGATGACATTTTGCATGTTAATGCCTTGTTAGTTTTTGAAAACTTACGTAATAGGCATATATACCAAGCGCCCAAAAGCAAGATAGACATATTGATTAAGCAATACAATAAACTTGACACTTCAATCAAAATAACAAGAAAGATGTGAACTATTTCAGACAAACAGCGCATATGCAACCAAGTATGAACAGTATTTAGAGATGTTACCTGATGATCTCAGACAGATTGCCAGAGACAGGGACAAAAAACTTGATCGCGAACACATGGAAAAGAGCAAGGTATGCAAAAAACAATTATTGATCTATCCAAAGCTGAATTAATGTGGACAACCATGGTTTAAAGTGGAGGAGCATCAATTTTAAGAACCACCTGAATGAGTAGTCTGTAATTGTTTTCCACTGTCAGTTTGTAGAATATATTAAGTAACTCTGTCAATTTTTTATGTGTTTATTTTGGCTGTTTACACCATTGTATATCATTAAAGAAGTTTACTCCATTTGTATACCTACATACCTATACCTACCTTGTATTACATTGTTTTTATCTATAGGGAAGCCACAGGAAAGTTAATGAAGGTGATAGTGTTAATGATAATGATAAGGGGGAAGATACAGTCATCCGTAAGCCCATCAAGTCTGTGCATATGTTCATCCAGGAAAAGCTTGATAAATACAAGAAGAAATATCCAGATATGGAAGATGATGAACTGAAGCAACGTATGGTTAAGAAATTCAAGAGCATGTCCCCAGAAAAACAGGTATTAAATTTAATATACATTAGCTAATTCAAAATTGATTTATTTTTTTGTAATATTTGAATTTCTTTTATATTTCTCAAGTAACCTAAAAAATGTTCTTAAGGATGTTCCCTGGACGAAGTTGAAAACGATGAACACCAACCCCTAATTTTTCTTTTCAAAATGTGAAGTACATAGCATAACTAAGTGTTTCTGTGAGTTTAAGAAAAAGTTAAATATTCAAAAGTGTGTTTTGGGGTGAAAACCTGATTTTTAACATGGGTTTCAATGAGAAAGTGCCACGCCCACTTTTGTCAAATATTGACACTTTAGAGGCCTCTTGCTCAGAAAAAAGCACACTAACATATGGTTTTTAAAGTTTTAATATTCTTTGTTGCCCGTGAGAATCCCAGAAAACCATTTTTGAGAAAAAGTTAAATACTATTGAATATTTTCCTATCTGACCAGGGAACATCCTTAAGTAGGACAATATAATATAAAACACTAGCTCAAAAAATAGAAATAAGTCAATTGTTCTCAAAACATAAAAATAGCTTCATACATTTAATTGTAAGTATTGGTTCAGTTAGCTCAGACCATTCATGGCTCTTAAGTTCTTTCAAAGTAGATAAAGCGTATATTCTGCTAATGATTAAGCCTTTAATATTCAGCTTCTAAACTGATTTGGTCTTCTCTTCACTCAGAAAAGATTCATCCACATATAGAATGAAGTGCAAAATACTGTGTGAAGTCATATCAAGCATAGCAACTTTATATGGTGTCCTTTGGCTTTCATGGATATTAGAGCTTCACTTGTTAATCATGTTGTTTATTTCTGTTAATGTCATGGAAACATCAAAAATTGTTCAATTTCTATTGAGTTCCTCCATGATAAGCTAAAGTTTGCCATTTGTACCGCATTGTTCCATTTTTTGTAGAGTTCTCATTTTATGTAAGTTTTTACTGTTTGGGGTTGAGAAAAGTAAATCAGATAGAACTCCTCATTTATTTATGTTTTTAGTAATGATACATTTGCAGAATTTATATCATAAACTAGCTGAAGCAGAGAAAACAATACAGACCAAGAAAAGGCAGCAGAAGCTGACAGATTTCTTGTAAGTTTGAATCATGAAACTGAGATTCTCATTTATCAAAATAAGCAGTGGCAAATGATGTTGAAGTATTTTGAATAATGCCGCTAATTTTTGAAAATAAAATTGACAGAATAACCATGGAAAATAATGCTGATTTAAAAAAGTGTTTGTACTAATTTGAAAAAGATACACTTTATTTACTTTTTCATAGCACTTCTGTAATGTGACTTTAAAAGCAAGTTCTACATTTGAACATGGGCATGCCACCCCTTTCCCAAGAACTTCCCATACAATATACTTCAATGATGTTCAATGACTGAATTTTGTACTACAGGGCCACACCTGGGAAGCTGAAGAGTGTTCCTAAACCCGAGGACTTCCCAGGAGAGCCGAAGAAATACACTGGGTAAGAATGAATGTATTTGGATATGCCTGTCATGTCGCTACTAACATCTAGTTGCCAAAACACTTCTGCCATCTATTGGCTGTCTTTAGATTTTAAACCAGAAAATATAGGAAAAACTAAAAAAGCCAATATACTGTACCTATATCTATTATCAAATTTTAGCTATTTGAATTTTGCATACATGCTATCTTTTGTAAATCTTTATATGGGGACATGAAATGCCGGAAGGCGGTTTGCCCCAACCCTGTCTATTCATTGTATATTTGTTTGTATATATGAAATAAACCTATTGATTAAAAATATATATATATCTATTATGTATAAATTTTCTACAGCTCTGTATAAAAGAATATTGTGTAATACACGGTGAACACTTTGTGGGTTTCAGAAATGCTTACACCTTATTCACTAGTGAGAAGATGGTCTCAAAATCTGTAGCAGCTCTACATAACAACGAACGGATGAAACACATTTCACTGCTTTGGAAGACATTGTCAGAACAGGAAAAGAAAAAGTACAAGGACAAGAGTGAGCAGAGGAAGTCTGAATATAATAAAGAACTGGAGGATTTTAAAGCAGTTAGTGTTTTCTTACACATCATTTTGAATTAATAAAAAAGTAATATTTATTGTAGAATAAGACATTGTCTCCCTTTATTTTTACACTACAGAGAGAAAACTTTTGTTTGACACCCTTACGCAATTCAATTTTGTAGGAAGTTCTAACTTTATTTTCAAAAAGCTTTTGTCTCATAAAAATTCTTATGTAATTTTACACCTAGCAAAGTTCATTTATCATTCATTCAAAAAACTGGATTAATATTGTAACAATGATACATCACACTGATGTTTTAAATTCTGTCATGTTGTATCTATATTTTACAATTATCTCATTTTTGTATTTTACATTTTGTGATGCTGTAATTGTATTTTACAACTTTGTATATTTCCTATGAAGTAGTTAGTTTAGTCTTAGTTTAATTTTGTATATTGTAGTTTGTAGTGACTAATATGTCATTGCAATGACATCAGAGAGTCAATAAAAGATATATATATACACTACAAATTAGAAAATTAACATACCTTTAATGTCAGACTCATCCCAAGACTCATGCCACCATTTTGCTCTTTAAAGTGTGATGTCTATCACCATGTGTCTTTTTATGTCATAACCATTGTCACGTTTTTGTAACCAGTTATTATAACTTACCAAGTGAAAATATTTTGCGATGTTATTAATTCCTCGTGAATGCTTGCAGGGTCTCTCTGATAAAGAACGAGCAGACTATGAAGCTCATCTGAAGGAGGTAAAGGAATATGGTAAATTTCGGAGGACACACATTGCCGCCCTGAAAACCCCAAGAAAGAAAACAGCCCCACAGACGGTATGCTCCTTATGGATTTGATTACGACACGAGACTTTGTTTACTCTTTTTTAGAAATTTGAGAATTAGAAATTCGGGTCTCCATATACTAAAGATACCATGCAATATACCTGTACCTATGTTCAATGGTTAATTGAATTGTTATGTCATGAATGAATGTTCCATATTTGTAAATATTCAATATTAACTTTGAGTTGAGTTTATATTTGGATTCAGAATCAATTTTTATCACCCATGTTTATTATAGCCATCCACTCAATCTACCACAACTAAAGAAATTGAAAGGAGAAGTTCAGGCAGTGGTAGCAGTTCAGGGAGTGGTAGCAGTTCAAGTGGGTCTGATTCAGAAGAGGTTGAGGATCAAATGCCAAATTTACCAGCAAAAAATGTGAGTTCCTATGGGGTATCGAACGTGTATACTTTCAATGTTTTTATATGTATTGACAGCATTAAGAAACAACATATTTAGAAGGAAAACATTTTTATTATTTTCGATCAACATTGTCTACAACTGCTGATATACATTTATTAAGTTATTGACCAAAGATTCTGTCATTGTACAATTGTTTTTCTTCTATAATCTAGGCTTAATTAATATAGTAGTTTACCTTTTTATTTAGTTGGCTGCTAAAAAAGAGGCCAAAGGCAATGCAGATGAGAGCTCGAGTGAATCAGGCTCGAGTGGTTCAGGCTCGAGTGGTTCAGGCTCGAGTGGTTCAGGGTCTGGTGATGAAGACTCTGACTCTGATGTATCAGGCATCGTGCCATTGCCACTTAAACAGGTAATGTCTCTCAAAGAGATCAGATCGTCCAAAAGCACAATTAGAGTAACCCCCCTTTTTTTTTTCCTTGTTATATGATGACTTTGGACTTCTTATCGTCCTATGCTTTTGTCAAAAAGGTTGGGGTTCGATTCCCGGCTTTGACAATCTTTTTTTATTATATATTTTTTATCACAACATATTTTTATCCTTTTAATTACTTACTGTACAAATGTTTTACAATGTAAAAAAATTGTATGTTGTTATAGACTTATTGTGCTCTAGACAGTTGGTTGTTCTTTGCTTGTCTGTTGATTTTCTCAATATATTGGTGAAACTGTGCTCATAATTTGGTCTCAAAATATATCTAAAGTATATATGAATCATGATGTTATATGAGCAGTTATATTAGGACATTACTGATTGTCCGGGAGAGAAATCTGGATGATCCGATCTCTTTAAATGTGCTTTGTCTAATAGTGTTGCCATGTTCAAGGAAAATCATATTGGTTTTTAGAATCATGTTGGAACTAAGAATTGTCTCGAAAAAGCCTAAAATAAGATAAAACAGGGAATTTTTAGACTTGAAATGAGAAACAGAAAAAAGGTGGAAACATTGAGAAACAGATTCTAGAATGTATAACAATAATAACTACCATTATGAATGGTGTGATGTCATTCTACAATCTGGACCACTTTCATTTTTAAACAATCGAATCTTAGAACATTACTTCCTTGAACATACTCCATGCTTGCAATTTTAGAACAAAAATCATTTTGATAATGAAAAATAACACTTCATAAACTACATGTACATACTGTATATTGTTGCATGCTTTTGATTCCTTTCCAGTCATCCCCAAAAAAATTAGCCCAGAATTCTTCGCCAAAGAAATCAGTTGGGAATTCTTCCACAAACATATCAGCCAAGAATGCTTCTTCAAAGAAACTAGTGAAAAGTCATACAGAGAGATCAATATCAAGTTGTGATTCTGATATTCCTAAACCTAAGGAGTTCCCAGGAGAACCTAAGAAGTACCTAGGGTGAGAATACATTTAGATATTATATTAAGATGAAGCTTGCTATAGAGACAAGAACTCTATGTTATTTCAGGCAAGAATGGTGCCATATAATTTTGGAGCTGTTTTTTGTAATTGTAATTATCTGCTAGAGCCCTGTTAATAAGATGTTCTGTAATACATAGTTAACATTATCCAATGCCAAGTAGAGTTTTAGGGAGATAAGTTGGTAAGATATATCCCGTATCCTGATTTTGAGGTTTCCATATCCTGAACCTCCATATCTCCCGCCATATCTCCCGCTCCAGGGCATATCTTCCCGCTTCGAAAAAAAATTTGAAAAAATGAGAAAAAGAAAAATGTGAAAAATTGAAAAAAAGAAAAAGAATTGAAAAAATAGAAAAAAAATAAGAAAAATGTGAAAAAATTGAAAAAATAAAAAAAAATTGAAAGAAAATTAGAAAACTCTACTTGGTATAGGATAAAGCAGTTATGTACGGTCGGTTTGGATATTGGGTTCATCCTTCGTGAGATATGCACATCTACCTTTGGTCCCTACGGTCCCTCAGGTAGATATGCATATCTCCCTCTTGGATAAACCCCATATCCAAAACCTCCCAGTACATAACCCTTATCTATTGGTTTCAGAAATGCTTACAACGTATTCACTCGTGAGAAGATGGTCTCAAAATCTGTAGCAGCTCTACCTAACAATGAACGGATGAAACACATTTCACTGCTTTATAAGGCATTGTCAGAACAGGAAAAGAAAAAGTACAAGGACAAGACTGAGCAGAAGAAGGCTGAATATAATAAAGAACTGGAGGAATTTAAAGCAGTTAGTTTTTAATTTTATGTCATTTTGAATCAAACAAAGAGAAAAGAAATATTGTTATTCCATCGAAGTTCTGGTATGTGAATACTACAAGCATGGCACACTGTCTAATGTCATTTTGGGTAGAACGTGACCATTTTGAAAAATGTCCACCATTTTTATATGGGTTATTTTATGTTTTCTTTACTATAACTCGAAAATGTGAATACTAGAAGCCTTGCACACTGTCAAATGACACTTCCGGTAGTATTTTTACAGTTTTTACCAGAATTCGAAAAGTAGTTGAGCGATTTTGTTCATATTTGATATGTGAATACTATAAACATGGCACACTGTCTAATGACACTTTGGGGAGTTGGTGGCTATTTTGAAAAATGGCCACCATTTTTATGTGAGTGAATTTCTTCATTTCTAGTCAGCAGCTGTCTGAGAAGATTGTAATGTTATTACTTCTTTGTGAATGCTTGCAGGGTCTGTCTGAGAAAGAGCAAGCAGACTATGAAGCTCATCTGAATGAGGTGAAGGAATATGGTAAATTTAAGAGGACACATGCTGCTGCTCTGAAAACCCCAAGGAAGAAAACAGCCCCACAGACGGTATACTGTTTATGACTTTATTTATTTACACAAGACTTTGTTTACCTACTGTGTTGACTATATTACCTAATAAGTAAATAGAATGAAATTTTTTTTTATTATTATTACTCCCCCTAGAATGCCGTTTTCACAGAGCGCAAATGGAATATACCTTCATGCAGAATCTTAATCTTAGAATTTGATCTTTTTTTATTTATTTGTTTCTTATTTCCTTCATATAGCAATAAATCAATTATTTTGCACAGAATTGACATATTTTCTGAATGCATGAATATGCCCCTTACCTCAGTAATTTTATACTTTCTGCAGTTGAATCCCCATAGAAATCATTCACAGATAGCCAAAACTGCAAAATAGATAAAATTTGTTGTGTTGTTTTTTTCTCTCACTAGATGGCATCATGTGTTAAAGTCCATATGTTCCTGTCACCATATCGTTTTACACTGAATTCAGCTTTCCCCCTGATTTAATCAGAAGTGAAGATGTCAAGAAAAATTTGAACATCTTTTAATTATGTCCCCACCACATAGTGTGGGGCCATATTGTCGGCCTAGGCGCGTCCGTCTGTCCGTCCGTACGTACGTCCGTCCGTCTGTCCGTACGTACGTCCGTCCGTCTGTCCGTACGTCCGGGAGTTTTCTCCAAAACCGCTACAGATATCTCCTTCAAATTTTCAGGGATAACTTATGAGTGCATACAGATGTGGATGAAAAAATTTTAACTCGATACCTACTTCCTGTCGGCCATTTTTAAGTCAAAAGCTAAAATCCTTGTCTGCAAACTTTAAGAAAAACGGCTTCACAGTTGCTTTTAAAACTTTAACATCTTGTTCAGCTCACTTCATTCTAGATCTGATTAGGTTTTGGACCTGTTAGCTCAGTCATGTCAGCCATTTTGAATATCTTAAGAAAAGTTAGCGCACGATAATACTTTGTATCATATTGAATGGTGTTTTTGAGTTTTCATACTTTAACTATTTAGTAGCTTTATAAATAATTTCACATGTACTTTGTTGTAAAAGCCTATGTTATTGTTAACAGTAGTTATATGTGATAATTTTGTAAGAAGAAATCAGCAAAAACACATAATCACTTTTTTATTGTCGGCCATTTTGGATTTTTCTGTCCTAAAATCTTGTCTGTGAAGTCTTGTCTACGGGTTTTCAGGTGAACCGTTTGGTGGATCAATTTCAAATTTTCAGGGATGATTCTTAGTATAAAATTCTAGATCTGATTTGTTTTTTGGCATTCTGGATAAATGTCAAGGCAGCCATTTTGGATTTTCCGTCCTAAAATCTTGTCTGTAAAGTCTTGTCTACGCGTTTTCAGGTGAACCGTTTGGTAGATCAATTTCAAATTTTCAGAGATGATTCTTAGTATGGAAATGTAGAACTGATTAGTTTTTTGGCATTCTGGGCAAATGTCAAGGCAGCCATTTTGGATTTTCTGTCCTAAAATCTTGTCTGTAAAGTCTTGTCTATGCATTTCCAGGTGAACCGTTCTGTAGATCAATTTCAACTTTTTAGGGATGATTCTTAGTATGAAAATCTAGATCTGATTAGTTTTTTGGCATTCTGGATAAATGTCAAGGCAGCCATTTTGGATTTTCCATCTTAAAATCTTGCCTGTAAAGTCTTGTCTACGCGTTTTTAGGTGAACGGTTTGGTAGATCAATGTCATATTTTCAGGGATGATTCTTAGTATGAAAATCTAGGAACAGATTAGTTTTTTGACATTCTGGGTAAATGTCAAGGCAGCCATTTTGGATTTTCAATCCTAAAATCTTGTCTGTAAAGTCTTGTCTACGCGTTTTCAGGTGAACCATTTGGTAGATCAATGTCATATTTTCAGGGATGATTCTTAGTATGAAAATCTAGGAACAGATTAGTTTTTTGACATTCTGGGTAAATGTCAAGGCAGCCATTTTGGATTTTCCATCCTAAAATCTTGTCTGTAAAGTCTTGTTTACATGTTTTCTAGTTAAATGTGTGACGGATCAATTAAAAATTTTCAGGGGTGGTTCTTAGTTTGAAAATCTAGAACTGACTAAATTTTTGGCATTCTGGGTAAATTTTAAGGTGGCCATTTTGGATTTTCCGTCCTCAAATTGTGTTGGTAAAGTCTTGTTTACTCATTTTCAGGATAACCATTTGATGGGATCACCCATTGGTGGGGACATTTTGTACACATTTGTGTTCTTGTTTATTTTTGGAAAACTTCAACCTAAGAACCTATGATTTAACATTAGATTAAGACATTTGAAATAAATAAAGGCAAAAAAGCAAATAAAATAATTTAAATTCTGAAAATAATTTTGTCATCAAATAAGTGAATGTATGCTGACAGTGATAGGATCGTCATCGAGTAGTTGTAGATCAGCTATCAAGAAAGAGATATTTAAGCTTGATTATATCTCTCTTTTCATTAGAAACGCATAAAAATCTCGCGGAATTGGCATTTTCGCAGCAGAATTCACTAATTTCCTCTTGGAGAAGACTAGTGTCATTACCAAGTTCACTATCCTCAATATTTATTTATATGTTTAAACATTGATGATATTCCTAAATATTCACTTGATCTTCCGTGACATGTGACCCAGTTTTGGCCAATCATACAATTGTAAGTTTGACAGTGATCTAATAATTGTGAATATTCAATCATGACTGATGTTGATTATTGGAATTCAAAATCAATTTTTATCACCCATGGTTGTTGTAGCCATCCACACAAACCACAACAAGGAAAGAAATTGAAAGGAGAAGTTCAGGCAGTGGTAGCAGTTCAGGGAGTGGTAGCAGTTCAAGCGAGTCTGATTCAGAGGAGAGTGAAAATCCAGTGCCAAATTTACCAGCAACAAATGTGAGTACCCAGTGGTATATAATGATAAAAATGGAATGGAATAATTTCAGTTCGGTTTGGGTCTGGAACAGAGTGACTGCGTACATAAGATATACCAAATTAGTTTATTTGATACATTTGAGTCTGACACAGGTGTTTCCTACACATTTCTAACTTGTACACCAAGATAATAAATTTTATATGGGTATCACGGAAATTCTAGATCATACTGCTCGTAAAAAGATTTTGATCCAACAATGTCTACAACTGCTGGATCACATTTTCAAAGTTATTGACCAAAGGTTCTGTCGTTGTACAATCATTTTTTAATTCTTCTGTATTCCAGTCTTGATTGATAAATGTACAGTAATTTGCATTTTAGTTGGCTGCCAAAAAGGAGACTGCAGATGAGAGCTCAAGTGATTCAGGCTCGAGTGGATCAGGCTCGAGTGGTTCAGGCTCGAGTGATAAAGGGTCTAGTGATGAAGACTCTGACTCTGATGTATCAGGCATTATGCCATTGGCACTTAAACAGGTAAAGTCTCTTACAGTGCTTTGTGTAATAGTGTGCCACTTAAACAGGTAAAGTCTCTTACATGTGCTTTGTATAATAGTGTGCCACTTAAACAGGTAAAGTCTCTTACATGTGCTTTGTGAAATAGTGTGCCACTTAAACAGGTAAAGTCTCTTACATGTGCTTTGTGTAATAGTGTGCCACTTAAACAGGTAAAGTCTCTTACATGTGCTCTGTGTAATAGTGTGCCACTTAAACAGGTAAAGTCTCTTACATGTGCTCTGTGTAATAGTGTGCCACTTAAACAGGTAGTCTCTTACATGTGCTTTGTGTAATAGTGTGCCACTTAAACAGGTAGTCTCTTACATGTGCTTTGTGTAATAGTGTGCCACTTAAACAGGTAGTCTCTTACATGTGCTTTGTGTAATAGTGTGCCACTTAAACAGGTAAAGTCTCTTACATGTGCTCTGTGTAATAGTGTGCCACTTAAACAGGTAAAGTCTCTTACATGTGCTTTGTGTAATAGTGTGCTTCTTAAACAGGTAAAGTCTCTTACATTTGCTTTGTGTAATAGTGTGCCACTTAAACAGGTAAAGTCTCTTACATGTGCTTTGTGTAATAGTGTGCCACTTAAACAGGTAGTCTCTTACATGTGCTTTGTGTAATAGTGAGCCACTTAAACAGGTAGTCTCTTACATGTGCTTTGTGTAATAGTGTGCCACTTAAACAGGTAGTCTCTTACATGTGCGTTGTGTAATAGTGAGCCACTTAAACAGGTTGTCTCTTACAGTGCTTTGTGTAATAGTGTGCCACTTAAACAGGTAGTCTCTTACATGTGCTTTGTGTAATAGTGTGCCACTTAAACAGGTAGTCTCTTACATGTGCGTTGTGTAATAGTGAGCCACTTAAACAGGTAGTATCTTACATGTGCTTTGTGTAATAGTGTGCCACTTAAACAGGTTGTCTCTTACAGTGCTTTGTGTAATAGTGTGCCACTTAAACAGGTTGTCTCTTACAGTGCTTTGTGTAATAGTGTGCCACTTAAACAGGTAGTCTCTTACAGTGCTTTGTGTAATAGTGTGCCACTTAAACAGGTAGTCTCTTACAGTGCTTTGTGTAATAGTGTGCCACTTAAACAGGTAGTCTCTTACATGTGCTTTGTGTAATAGTGTGCCACTTAAACAGGTAGTCTCTTACATGTGCTTTGTGTAATAGTGTGCCACTTAAACAGGTAGTCTCTTACATGTGCGTTGTGTAATAGTGAGCCACTTAAACAGGTAGTATCTTACATGTGCTTTGTGTAATAGTGTGCCACTTAAACAGGTTGTCTCTTACAGTGCTTTGTGTAATAGTGTGCCACTTAAACAGGTAGTCTCTTACATGTGCGTTGTGTAATAGTGAGCCACTTAAACAGGTTGTCTCTTACAGTGCTTTGTGTAATAGTGTGCCACTTAAACAGGTAGTCTCTTACATGTGCTTTGTGTAATAGTGTGCCACTTAAACAGGTAAAGATTCTTACATGTGCTTTGTGTAATAGTGTGCCACTTAAACAGGTAGTCTCTTACAGTGCTTTGTGTAATAGTGTGCCACTTAAACAGGTAGTCTCTTACAGTGCTTTGTGTAATAGTGTGCCACTTAAACAGGTTGGCTCTTACAGTGCTTTGTGTAATAGTGTGCCACTTAAACAGGTAGTCTCTTACAGTGCTTTGTGTAATAGTGTGCCACTTAAACAGGTAGTCTCTTACATGTGCTTTGTGTAATAGTGTGCCACTTAAACAGGTAAAGACTCTTACATGTGCTCTGTGTAATAGTGTGCCACTTAAACAGGTAGTATCTTACAGTACTTTGTGTAATAGTGTGCCACTTAAACAGGTAGTATCTTACAGTACTTTGTGTAATAGTGTGCCACTTAAACAGGTAGTCTCTTACAGTGCTTTGTGTAATAGTGTGCCACTTAAACAGGTAGTCTCTTACAGTGCTCTGTGTAATAGTGTGCCACTTAAACAGGTAGTATCTTACAGAACTTTGTGTAATAGTGTGCCACTTAAACAGGTAGTCTCTTACATGTGCTTTGTGTAATAGTGTGCCACTTAAACAGGTAAAGTCTCTTAAAGTACTTTGTGTAATAGTGTGCCACTTAAACAGGTAGTCTCTTACAGTGCTTTGTGTAATAGTGTGCCACTTAAACAGGTAGTCTCTTACAGTGCTTTGTGTAATAGTGTGCCACTTAAACAGGTAGTCTCTTACAGTACTTTGTGTAATAATGTGCCACTTAAACAGGTAAAGTCTCTTACAGTGCTTTGTGTTATAGTGTGCCACTTAAACAGGTAGTCTCTTACAGTGCTCTGTGTAATAGTGTGCCACTTAAACAGGTAGTCTCTTACAGTGCTCTGTGTAATAGTGTGCCACTTAAACAGGTAGTATCTTACAGTACTTTGTGTAATAGTGTGCCACTTAAACAGGTAGTCTCTTACATGTGCTTTGTGTAATAGTGTGCCACTTAAACAGGTAGTATCTTACATGTGCTTTGTGTAATAGTGTGCCACTTAAACAGGTAAAGACTCTTACATGAGCTTTGTGTAATAGTGTGCCACTTAAACAGGTAAAGTCTCTTACAGTACTTTGTGTAATAGTGTGCCACTTAAACAGGTAAAGTCTCTTACAGTACTTTGTGTAATAGTGTGCCACTTAAACAGGTAGTCTCTTACAGTGCTTTGTGTAATAGTGTGCCACTTAAACAGGTAGTCTCTTACAGTGCTTTGTGTAATAGTGTGCCACTTAAACAGGTAGTCTCTTACAGTGCTCTGTGTAATAGTGTGCCACTTAAACAGGTAGTCTCTTACATGTGCGTTGTGTAATAGTGAGCCACTTAAACAGGTTGTCTCTTACAGTGCTTTGTGTAATAGTGTGCCACTTAAACAGGTAGTCTCTTACAGTGCTTTGTGTAATAGTGTGCCACTTAAACAGGTAGTCTCTTACAGTGCTTTGTGTAATAGTGTGCCACTTAAACAGGTAGTCTCTTACATGTGCTTTGTGTAATAGTGTGCCACTTAAACAGGTAAAGATTCTTACATGTGCTTTGTGTAATAGTGTGCCACTTAAACAGGTAGTCTCTTACAGTGCTTTGTGTAATAGTGTGCCACTTAAACAGGTAGTCTCTTACAGTGCTTTGTGTAATAGTGTGCCACTTAAACAGGTAGTCTCTTACAGTGCTTTGTGTAATAGTGTGCCACTTAAACAGGTAGTCTCTTACATGTGCTTTGTGTAATAGTGTGCCACTTAAACAGGTAAAGATTCTTACATGTGCTTTGTGTAATAGTGTGCCACTTAAACAGGTAGTCTCTTACATGTGCTTTGTGTAATAGTGTGCCACTTAAACAGGTATAGTGTTGCCACTTTCAAGGAAAACCATATTGGTTTTCTCTGACCTGGAAAATTAAGGGAATTTGGGCAAAGAATTCAATAATCTCAAGGAGCCTAGGGACAGAAAGGCAATTTTGAGACATGAAATAATAAACAAAATAAGTGGAAAAATAGATGGTAGTGTCCATGTATAATGATAATGGCTGTCATTATGAATAGCACAATGTCATTCTACAATCCGAACCACTTTATCAAATGTTATAATAGCATTCATGACATTCTATATTCCTTGGACACTCTTTACTTGCAATTTTATTATTAAAAATTGAGAAATCATGGTTCATAACATTGTTTTGATTCCTTTCCAGTCATCACCTAAAAAAGACGTCTCCCTGAAGAAACCAGCCCAGAATTCTTCGCCTAAGAAATCGTTTCAGAATTCTTCCCCTAAGAAATTAGCCAAAATTGCTTCTCCGAAGAAACTGGTGAAAAGCCCCACAAAAAGACTAGTATCAAGTTCTGATTCTGATAATTCTACAGACTCTGAATCTGAATCAGAAGGGAGCCACTTAACAACAGGACAACCGCCAAAGAAAACTGTAAAAAAGGATCCCCCAGAAGTTAAACGCGTGGCTCAGGTACTGTCCCCAAAGAAACCAGCACAAAAAGCGTCCAGTAGTTCTGAGGACTCAGACTCTAGTTCATCTGGTACATAATAATGGAAAATCATGTCACATCATGGCAGACCACTCATTGTATATATGTCATTATTTTTATGAGATTTTATGAGTACATGTACAGCAAAATCTGTGTCAATGGAAAACTCTTGGTGCCTCTAATAATTGTTCCACTTATTGGAAGGGATGCTGATTACAGACGTTTATCTAATAAAGCCATTGGGGTTATGGGACTAATTAAGTGTTCCATTCATATAAATATTCTGCTTATAGATATGTTAAACTTGACAGATTTGACTTATGTATCATTAATGACATATTTATATGCACACAGTTTATACAATAGGACACATCTTGTTTTTTGTATGAAGTAAAAAAAAATTGCCGCCCCAGTTTGATTGTGATATTATAACTATTATATATAGGCCTATTTTCAATGGTGTATCTTATTGAAGTGTATTCTACAAGGTGGATAGAATAATGTGTTAGTACTTTTAAGCATGATTATGGGCACTAATATTTGATACCATCCAAGATTTTTTAATAGCCTCATTCATGCAGTTCTTTCAGGGATTACTTTTTAACGTTTAGGATTAGAAACATGTTGGAGACCATTGTGAAAGTAGATAAGTGGGGTAAAATTCTCTATTGCCTATAAGGACTGCATGAAAAGGTTTTCAATAAAATCAGGATCTATATTATTCAATGTGGAAAAGAATTGAATATATTTAAGATTTTTCTGAAGACTGGAATGTCAACACATAGAAAATATAACTTGTACTTTTTTCTTGCTGTTCCATCTTGCCTCTTAAAAAAGTGTAGTTTTCTAATCAAGAGTAATTAAAATTTTATTTTTTTTATGTCACCACTAGAACTGGTGACATATTAATATGGTACCTTTTTTGGTGGTTGGTGTTGGATGGTCGGTGTCTGTAACAAATGGCAGGTGGTGACATTTTGCATGTTAATGTCTTGTATATTCTGTTTCCAATGAAAAGCATTAAGATCCATGTAGAAGCATAACTTTTATTTGTAATCACAAAATAATCAGTGAAAGCATGAATACCGAGTAATGTTAATTATACAACTAAATTAACATTTAACAGTTTAACTGTATATACTATTATTTTTATTATTATTGTATATAAGAAGTTATTATCTAAAGTTTTATATTTTACTGTATAAAACCTGTTTTGTATGATTCATGCATATATATTTCTAACTTTCTAGTTATTAATCAGCTTGTGTACTCAAAGGCTCAAAGGGAATAAAAATGTATTACTTGATATTATTGTGACCATTGTTTAAAGCTTGATTCTACAGAAATACACTGGATACTCAAATAATCTTGCAAATTTAAATCCAATAGTTAGAGCTGAAAAAATTGTCACTGTCTCACCTCAGTCCTTTATTAACCAATTCTTCAAGAAACAATGCCATTTGAAAGTTTGGTAGGTGTTCTATGTTATATTATACCTTTCATATCATTTAAATCATGGAGAAAGGAGGAACTGATTAAAATACATACCCAAATAATCAGATATATATCAGTCATAAACACTCCATTGATTTATATATTCTTGTAATCATGGGCTTGAGAACCCCATGCTGTAATTGATCATTTGTGATATGAAATCATCTATTCTGTTTATGGATATTTTTGCTCAGTATTTTGTCTTCATTGTATGATGTCATATAGAAATCACATTTGACATAATCTGGAGACAAAATAGCATCTTTTATGCAATCTGTGTTTCAGATTGTTCCAGCTATGTTTTATTTACTCCATTATTTGTGTATCTTCTTGTGTGTGTATAGTTTCTTTAGACGATACATGATAATTTTCATTGTTGTGAATCACAGCCCATCTCAGGGAAGTTTGCAATGAAGATCTGCATGGTTTTAAGCAAAGTTATAACTTATAATCCATATGATTAATGATACACATCTTTCGCATGCTCGGTCTTCATTGTGTTCTTACGACAGGAGCCGAGTGAATAACGATTGATGATACATACATGAATCAGTCCGAGGTATAAACTCACTCTACTATACCTAACTCCTATAAATGCATAAGATACTCTGTTTGTCTAATTGTATTGTTTAGTATATTTTTGAAAGTACCTTAATAACATGTAACAGTCATCCGATAAACCATTGATAAGGAACAGACAAATAAAAACAAATAACACAATCATTACTAATAATCCAAATGGGTTGCGCAAGAATGCCAAATGCAAGGTATAGTAGAGTGAAACTATGCTATGTTCAGTGTTCATTATGACAAGAACAGCAATACAATAGACCTATACAATATATCACAATTAATCAATTGATTGTTCATAGTTTTGTCACGTGTCATTATTTATTAAGGATGAAGATTATATTTTTGATAGCAAATATTGCTATGGGTTTATTTAGCTCATTTATGTGTGTGTACCATTATGTAAAATGAATTGGTATCAAATGAGTTATTTTAATTTTGAACTTAATTCAATCAAAATTCAAGTCTACTTTTCATATCAACTGTTTGTCACATGTTACTTTGGTTTGCATCATATTCTTCATACTGTATAAGGGTTGTCCCATTAGGCAAAGCCCCATCAAGTCCTATTGAGTCCCATGAGGTCCCATGCAATGTTAGGTCTATGTAGGTCCCAATGTGCCCCATTGGTGTAGGTTGGGCTTTAGTTACGCAAACCTTGATATGTAAAGTACAGTTGTAAAGTATTACATTGTAAATAAATATTTGTACAGTTTATGCATGTATATTTTATATATGAGTAAAATAAAGGGAACAGTGCATTTTGTAAAAATAATGTTGATTTATTTCTTCAGTATGATAAATAAAGGTTATTCACTGGGTATTTGAATATGGGTTTTATAACAGTAGAACATAATGCCCTTTGTAGGGGCTCACTACCATCTAGGCATCTACCATACTGCCAACTCCTGGCATATCATACAGTATAGCCCATCAGTGGTGGAGCCAACCTATTCAGGTCACCTCAAAGTTTGTATCAGTTAAGTTGAAGCCCTGAAGCAGTGGGTCAGACCGAGTGTCCTGTTTCTGGCTTTCCTAGGCTCCAATATTTTGCACCATGATAGTTGAAGCTCGTGCTGATATTGCTGTACCTCAATTGAAACATATATTTGATTTTTAATTCCAAAAGTACTATTTTGCCAATTTGAGGCACAATGTGGAGCAGGGGCCTATGGTGTAAATTACCACACCACAAAATAAATGTGAGGACAAGTTCAGATGATTGACAGGTCAAATATCACCCTGGTTCAAGATAACAATATTTAAAAAAAAACACCATGATTATTATATAAAAAAATATGTTTTATTTCATATTGCAAAGATCTATACACTAATAATGAAAAGTAACTTAAAAATTGGAACAGTATGTTTGGCAGTTTTTTTTTACTGTAGTCTATTAGGATATGTCGCAGTTGTGCATACACAGATTCTAATGTATGTTAAACTCGGACATACTTTAATATTGTCCAAAATTAGGGAGACAGACACCAAATGTCAGCTGAATTACGTAATGATACAGTAAAACCTGTCAGCTTGGAACTCCCCTCTCTTGGAAAAACCTCCCTATATGGATCAGTTTTCAAAGTCCCCAATCATTTCAATGAACCCTTTCTGTAAGGAACACCTGAATACAAGGAAAATATTGGCCAGAGTGTTCCATAAAGTAGGTTTTACTCTATAGATTAATTCACTGTTATAATCTGTTAAGATGAATTCACTGTTATAATCTATTAAGATGAATTCACTGTTATAATCTGTTAAGACACTTCACTAATGCATCTCTTATTTTAGTCCTTAGTGATTCATCACTGTCACAAATAATATGTGTAGATCCCTCTTCCAATTGTATGAGAATATCATCATCAGTCAGGTGAACAATACGTCCTCCTGTTGGACTGTCTTCAACCTTAATGTCTGTGATCCCTTGCTAAAATAACAAACAGGTCATTCCAATAAGTGGGAGATTATTATGAGGGGTTTTGAAAAATAATTATGTTTTATCATTACCATTGGGGGAGATCTATTACTAGAGCCATTCCAAGGGTGATAACTGAACTTTATCAAATGTATGCTAAGAGGGAGGAGCAATCAAGAACAATCACAACTAGGAACCAAGATTCAAATATCAATCTATTAGAAATCAAATGATCAATCCAATTGTAGCCTATATCATATGTTACAAACAAAACTTGATGTATTATTGAGATTGGATATAAAAATGCACTCCTATTTTCTGAAACACCCTGTACAGACATACATATATTAGATATTAGATACCTTTGACAAGTTATCCACAAAAGCTGATACATTTATGTCCCCCCACATGTATGGTTTGGAGTCTAGTTCCAGCTTCCGTTTTCTCCCAATATTACTGCTTGTTGGACTCTGAAAAATAAAACAATAGATAAAAGTTTCTTTCGTTTATTTATATTTATGTAGAAGAATGTTGTACATGAATTTTACTGTAATTTATACTGAATTTTATGCATGTTGCTATAAATGACAGACCTAGGAAGCCCTCCTTGAAGGAGCTCTGTGTTCTTTAAGGTGCATTGATACATAAACATACTTGTATAAATCAACGCATTTTGTACAAAATGTGGGCCACTAGATAAAACAACCCCAATGACTATTAGCAATGAGGAAAATTAGTCTTGCCTGAATTTGGGACTGACCAAGCCTGAGGCCAACTCATCATAGGTAAATGTCTATACCACTAATCTATATGCAACCCTCGCTGGACACTCACCTGAAGGATATAATTGTTGTCTTGCACCGCTAGGACCCCACTGACCATTGCCACGGCAACACCTGGCTTTAACTCTGTTGGTATAAGTGATCCTGTCAGCTCCATCTCAAGCTCTATCTTCTCTGTTGTCCGGCGTATTGGTAATGAGAGGACGTCAAATCTCTTGTATGGGATGGGTGCATGCTCACTTTCTATTATAAGATCAGGTCTGTTAAGCATGGGCGGTGGTGTGATGTATTTCTCTGATACGACGACATGTTGTGGTTTTAATTCTTTTAGAAGTTTATTTGCCTGACTAAAGTTAAGGCTGGTGTCGATAGGATAGTAAAGCACCTGAAATTGGATATAAATAAAATAAATTACTTCGTGATAGTGGGAGTATCTGAGTATTCCTGTCATGAACTGAAATGCAATGATGGAGGGCCTGCATTCAGGGAATCAAGAGGGTCAAGTATTCTACAACATGATGAAGTCCAGTAGTATGATTTAACAAGAATGATTCATTCATATATCTGCAACATTTTTATGAACATTTTCTATCACTTGTCAACAGTTTTTGATAGAGCATTTTAAAGAGTCCAGTGAAATCTAACCTTCATATTGAGTGGTTGAAATGGAGCAAGGGCATCAAGGTATGAGAAATCTGGCTCAGTGAATATAATTGTATTACTGCTAGACTTTCCCCAGAGCTCAAGGAAGTGAACCACGTCTCCAAACCTCAGGGATGGATGTCCCGTAAACACAACACAAGGTGTTCGGTAGTTCTTACTAAGCTCACCTGCAAACAATAACAAAATGATATGACATTCAAAATGTGTAATGAATCCAGTGCGGTCTTAGTAAAGAATTTGGACCTCAAATCCTATTAGCTAGCTTCACTACCTTCTGAAAATGGCAGTGATCTTAAAAATCTCAATTGTACGTTTCATGGGAGTTTAAATGTGAACTGAATGTTGGCTATCAATAAGCAGAAAATGTAGTCATTTTAACTACATAGGCTAGATCTTTCTTTCGAATGGTATACTTTTGACCCAAAATTAAAGGAATCTTACCATGAATCGTTTTGTAATGCTGTAATTTCCCCTGGGATATCAACTGAAAAAATAGACCATTCAGAATAAGGTAATCATGGCAATGTACTATTTAATCAAATACTCTATGTAGTACTTAAGCAAATTCACTCCCTTTGTCCAGCATGTCACCCATGTTGTAAAGAATGTATAAAATAAGAGGAGGTGTATCTTTTTTATGAAGTAAAGCCATCCGCTCAACAAGTGAGCTAATCCCTCATGAATGTATATAAATAATAAATATTTCTATGTTTTGGCTTATTATATGTTGCTCTTTTAGGAATGAACTATTAGTTACATTTTTTCTGTACTGTTCAAGAAAACAATCAGGAAAGAATATGTCTTTTCTCCTGAGGAAGAATAACATTGGATAAAAATAGAACACACCTCTGTATGGGGAAATGGATATTCTGGGAGGTAGACCCTGCTTTGCTTCCTTGACGATAACCTAAAACAATAACAACAAATAAGTAAGAAGTAAAAAGGATTGGTAAAAACAGACCATTAACATGCAAAATGTCACTACCTGCCATTTTTTACAGACACAGACTGCCGAACACCTAACACCAACTGCTGAAAACTGTCCACAAAAAACACACTTGTAGTGGTTACATAATAAAAGAATTGGTAAAAGTTTGATGAAGTAATTGTATGTTTACACAATATTTTAAATAACTGCATTAGTATTATAAACACCCTTCTAATTTACATTGGTTATGACCGTAATAACCTACCATTCTGCGAATATATTTGAGTATGCGATGCTGCTGTCTGATACTGGAGATATGAAGTACATGGGGATGTTTCCTAGATTCATGTTGTCAAGGTGACCAGAGAGACACTCAAACAAGTCAAATGTCACACCAGAGGGGTACACAGGAACCAGAACATTGCCTCCATTCTTGAGGGTGAGAGCTAGGATAAGAAAATCACATAATCCACTTGGTCTGAGCTAATACGAGGGGTGATCCAAAAGTCTTGGACGTCCCGCTCTAACGTTGCTATTTTCAAATATAATTACATGAAACTTTCAGATAATAAAGATCAACATCTGAACAACTTTGTGTATAAGTTTCACCAGAAAATAATATATTTTAGGTACTTTTCTAGATATTTTTGAATATCGGGTCCCTGCCACCCGGAACGGTATTTAAATATAGCAAATCATGTCACAACTGTTAATATGGCAAATACTTTAGGTGCAGGTGCAAAACCTAACACCAGTCACGATATGAGAGAATTTCCAATTTTTCAATCTGAGTGTCATCTGCCATCATCATCTTCAAATATTAAGATCTACTTTTCAACATATTTTCCATGAATTTGAACACATTTTTCGTATCGTTTTACCCATGAATGGAAGACATTTATGAAACAGCCATTATGTGATACAAATGCTCCTGAAGTGCCACTCTAAACCTCATCCAATGAGTAAAAAAAACATTTTCTTTCAACCCTCCTTTCCACTTCAGAAAAGGAAGAAAATCACACGGAGCCATATCTAGACTGTATCATGCATATGGTAGCTGCTCAAAGTCAATACTAGTGAGAATATCTTGTAGTATTCTTTGTTTCACTTTGATTTCTTTCATATTCTGTATTTCAGCAGCCATCTTGGAGCAAAAATGATACCAGAATAAGGGTTGCTTGTCTGATGTCATTTTCTTAGAATTTGACATATACAGCCATTGTCATATGTGACATTATGATTAAAACACAATTAATTTGTTGCCTGGTAACAAAGGAAGTAAACTAGCATGGTTAAACATTCGAAACTCAAAGAAAGATAGTGGTCAAGACTTGCGAAACAAGTCAAATGGCGCCAACATTTAAGGCTGAAAGTTACCATGTGCGAATACCGTTCTGGGTGGTAGGGTCCCTATATTAAAAACTATCTAGAAAAATACATAAAATATATCATATCACCATGAAATTAATACACAAAGTAGTTAGGTTGTTGGTGTTTATTATTGGAAAGTTTAAAGTAATTTTATCAAAAAACAACAAAATTAGAGCAGGGCGTCCAAGACTTTTGGATCGCCCCTCGTATCTATATTTATTTGATGTACAGGGTGAGCCAGGACATACAAAAAAAAGTTCTCAAAACAAAATTTACATAAAACATAGTGATTAGTGAATAATGTCAATGTATGTTAATTTCATAAACCCTATTGCCATAAAGAATCTGCACTCCAGAAAACAATAATCTGCTTCATTATAGGTAAAAATCAATAATATTTATTTGAGATGACCTCTTATTGAGAAATATATACCTGTGCTTATGCAGAATTCTCCTATCATTGAATCTGGGTTTGATGTTGGGACCTGAGTAAGACTCGACATTATAATGAGATCACTATTCTTCAACGGTGCTTGGTCTAAGGGCTAAAATAATAGAGATTATGTTAATAACTAACAGTAAAGGTAGTGATTCTATCACATGTATATATAGCGCAGTACATGTATATGACTAATGACATCAACTATTTTCCTTTTAATACATCTGGCATGAATCTCCAATGATGAACGAGCCAGAAAACAGCAACAGGACTATTATAAATATAGCTCTAGCTCAATTGTTTTATTGTAACATCATTTATTACATTTATCAACATTAGGGCATAACACATTTATTAGAAACAAATTGAAAATATAGGTTACTTTAAAACTATTATTAGAAATATTGCTAACCTTTGGATGTGTAGTCAGAGTAGAAGACCCTGATAAGTAGCAGATCTGCAATATAAGTCAAAGTGTGAATCTATTTTAGACAAAAGCAATATAAAGTAGACGATAAATCACAATCATGCAATTCATTTCAGAATCATTTATCAAATTATCATTGATCTCATTCATCACCAAAAAGCTGATCAAAAATCAGGAAAAATTTCATGAATCAGAATTTGAACATCCAAACTTCATATTGAATTTTCACATACTGAACTAAACTGTGGCAGAAAAGTATAGAAAATATTTTACTTTTTCATAATCTGATTTGATGACCCAGTTAGAGCTGCCCATTCTATAACCAGAGCTAATTGCTGTCACCGTCACTGCTCCAAATATATCCTTAAAAGACAAAGAAAAACAGTTTACATTTACGATTGCTATCATCTGACAATTCAAACTTTTGGCTGGCTCCAGCGGTGTTCCAATCAGACAGGATTTACATTTCACGTATTGCAAAGGGACAAATTCAATATTTTTTTCATAAGTGACAGTGAGAACTCCAGCATTGAAGCTAATCATTGTCATCAACTTGGTGCTGCACATGTTTCAGAATTTAGAATTACTTAATTAAGTATTCATTTGCTCAAACATCAGAATACGCGAAATAAAGAAAATGTGGGATGTTTTGACCACTTTAAGACATTTCATCTGAAGTACACGTAAGTCTAATGAAACAGAAAATAATTCTATCACTTTCTCGCTCCAATGGTGGTAAAGCAAAACTTCATGACTTACAATTTTCTGGCCAAAGCCAACCATCTGAACTTTAGCAAGGCTGTCATCCACCTGTTGTTTGGTGTAACATGTTTTCCAGGACAATGGGTTTGGCACATCACTGAGAGGTGCTGGCAGGTGTCTGCAAGCAGAAATAACAAGTTCATACCTTTGGTACTTAATTCTTTGGAGAATGTGCAGCAGATAAAAGGTAAGGGAAAGAAGCCAATAAAAAACAATATACATAAAAATAAAACATGGTGATGATAAAGACAAAGCTGATGGTAACAGGTAAAGCTACATATTTAAGAGAACTTGAACATAAACCTGGAGAACTATGGTCCTCCAGAAATGCCGGGTTCTCCCCTTCCTAGTATTAACTTGACCAATTAAGTAAAAGTTATAAGAAATAAATATCTGTCATAAATTCTCAGGAAAAACCAATTGAGAGAGGGGGGTCAGTAATCCCTTGGGGTCATAATCCCATATGTTCACATACAAGTTCTCTTAAGTTAAAATACATAGCTTAACCTCCCTATGTAGTTCACTTACTTGTTGACATTTGGTTGTTTCCATTTTGTGGCAGTATATGTCTTTGGCACTCTAGTTATATACTCAACAAGCTCTTCCATGTACTGTCTGCAACAAAACACATAGAAACATGAAAAGCAGCTTTAGACCAATCAGACTGTCTGTTCACTAGGTTGAGGGGATGTCACATGGATTGATGATTGTTTTTTATTTCGCCTACTTATTTCTTCCTGGTTGTAGATTCTAGCCTCCCAAACCCTTGCTATGCATTGGTCATTCATTTTATGACAGCTCATTATCAAAGTAACTCACCTGCCAACTTGCAGTGTGGGTTCAATATCATAGACTGCCCCTTTAAAGTAACTCACCTGCCAACTTGCAGTGTGGGTTCAATATTATAGACTACCCCTTTAAAGGAACTCACCTGACAACTTGAAGTGTTGGTTCTGTAGCATAGACTACCCTTTATTAAAGTAACTCACCTGCCAACTTGTAGTTTTGGTTCTGTAGCAGACTTTAGACTACCCTTTAAAGTAACTCACCAGCCAACTTGCAGTGTGGGTTCAATATTATAGACTGCCCCTTTAAGGAAACTCACCTGCCAACTTGAAGTGTGGGTTCTGTAGCATAGACTACCCCTTTAAAGCCAGAGTGCTGAGTGATGTATGGAAGGCTCATCATACAATTAGAGTTGGATATTAATATCACGTCCACTTCAGACAGATCAGTCATATCAATCTAAGAAATACATATTAAGAATATGATATACATTTGTAATTATAATGGCATAAGCACATTCATCAAAAAATACAATGAGTTGAAAATGTTAAGCCCTGATACAGCATGAATCAAAGATACCATCTTGAATTGAGCAGCTATACTGGAAGTTCATTATTGAACCAAGGTTCTATGCCACTTAGGCATCAGTTTATAAGTTTGAACCAAATCCATCAACAAGTATATGAGTTAATGCCCTGGTTGAAAAATGAATAGATGATTCCTCCAAATTCCTCTAAGAACTTTGATGGAATTAAAATCATTGTTTTAAATTTAAAGGACAGGGCTCAGCTAATAATTAAGACACCAAAGAGAGAAAAGAACTTACTTCTGGAATATAAAACTCAGGGGGACTGTCTATGAAAACACGTCCTCCATTCTCCTTCAGCTCTTTAGCTGCTAGCTTAACCTCTTTGTCTCCCTTTGCTACCCAATTAGACAGTTTTGACAACTTCTGGCTAAAAAAATAAAATGTATAGAATCAATTACAAGGAGCTCAATATGGCTTTGAAACTGAGGAGCTGCTCATCAATATGATTTGCTCAAATCATGCTTTTCCATTCTCAAATATCTCTAATAAAATATGACTTAACACAAGCTACTATCAACATCTTGAAAAGTGTAACAGACACTGACATTAAATGGTGAAATACTGTTCGCTATAACAAAATTTCCCCACTTCTTGGTAGTGATGGGAAAAGGTGCTTACCTTGGAACAACAGGTATGGGTAGAAAACTGAGAAGAGAAGTAGTATCCAGGCCACAGTCTAGCATTATAGTGACACTTTTGAACTTCAGGATGAAACATGGTCTGTTGGGGTGACCTGACAGGCAGTACTGAAAGTAAAATATAATACAGTCAAGGGACAATCCAAATGGGAGGGGTCATAGATTCGATAAAAATGATGCAATATTCATGCAATTGTTATGACTTAAGGCAATTCTTTACAAATAAGTGAGTTGAAATTCAAATTTTTATCAAAGCAAGGAATTACAGAAAAATTAATCTCACTTAATACTATATAATTGATTAGTTTAAAATGATTTGCTTTTCAGGTTATTTTGACATTGTTTTGTGGGGACCTAGAGACAACCCCTTTATTAAACTTACCAGCCTCATTTTGTGTTTGTGCCAGAATGTTAAGGTTCTTGGTCAATGTGACTAGAAAAATCTCCAGAAAACCTTTGGGACTGTTGACACCCTTGAGATAGATATCTAAAAATAATAAGATTGGACACAGGTGATAATCAGACTTTTGAGTGATAATTTGCAAGGGTGTCTATCTACGTCAATAGAAATCCTTGTAATTGGTAACTCAACAAAGCTTTAAGTAAGTGAAACAAACCGAAATGCAATGAGATTATTTTTAATGTCCACCAAATCTCTTCTTAGGCCATTCAACTCGATTTTTATACACATTCTCTGACCTTTGCTATTATCGGAGTCATAAAATAGTCTTAGAGTAAATTAGACTTTTAGAATTGAGGCTTGCTTCAAGTTGAGCTACAGTCATCTCGTCGTTCGCACTCATCTGTTTATCATTCAAACATGACCGTGCTCTATTCGAATTTCTCAACCAATCAGAATGCAGCATAGCCAATATAGAACGTTCTCTAATTCTCCATAGATGCACGACCATGCTCTATTCAATCTGCAATTTGCATTGTTTTGAGTGACGTCACATCTCAGCTGCACATCTGGGGCTCTGTCCGGGGATAGCTGTTCTTTTTTACTCCCTCCGTAACTACTGTAACTATTTAACTATGGCTGACTTCAAGTTTATACACCGTATAAAATCTAAAACGGGGAGTAAAATAGAACAGCCCAAACAAATTCTAAAATTTTTCCGGCCGACTTCAGAATCTTGACAGCATGCGTATTCTTCCTTCATGCCCGTTCCACAGACACGGCTTTTACTAATTTTTATGTTTGAATCGGAATAAATAATGATAGGCCATTCAATATGGTGAAATTCTGTCCAACTCGTGCTGAATTTCACCATATTGAATGGCCTATCATTATTTATTCCTTAAATAAAGTCCACATGTTCAAGGGTGAACTTCAAGACTTTACTTCTCTTTGGCGCGTCATCAAGTCGTCCAGTATTACAGAACCGCTTCAGGAATCTGCTGATATCTGCATAACATACTCTATTTTAAATCCCTGAGTCTTTAATCCGGCGATATATATTACATGGATTAATGTCTCATTAATTTTAAATGTAATCAAAAATATAATCGTCTGGGCATTGAGCAATGTTTATTTTGATACAGTAATGTTCATGACAAAGTCGATGGGCAGTGTCAATGGGTATGCGGTTCCGATGACTGTGCCGATCGGCAGTAAACTATACTATGCCAATAGAGATGCCTATCAGCGTGAGGACTAGTGCCTATCGGCGTGCCGACAACGTGCCTATCGAAATCTTGTACAATTTCAAGTTGTAGTTACAGATAAGCTGGATTGGTGATGGTGGTTATTTAGACAAAGTCAGCTTTGTGTCAAATACTGACAACATTTTTCCAAATACAAGATATCAATACACAAGTAGATGTGGGGGTGATTTGAAAAATCAACCCAACATTTATGGGGGTACACTCATAATACAGCTTTCACTTTCAGTTTGGCAACTCTGTTGATCGTTCATGAAATAAAAATATTTGCATTGCTTATTAAAACCCTTGGCAACAATTCAGTTCATATGGAGACATGGAGGAACTATTAATCAATATCATAACATATAGATATTTGATAAGCCGCCACCATACCTGTCTAGATTTTAGATATCATTTCATCTTTTTTGTGAAAATATAAACCCGGAAGTAGCTTCTGCAAGACGTGATCTCGAAAAATCTCGTGGTATTCAGAATGAAAATTAATTATCGCTACCCTTTGCATTCGTTTGACTTCACTTCTTAAATTAAAAGAGAGCTTCGTCTTCACTCTTTCAAACTAAAATAAACCTGTGAACTCACCGCGTCAATCAGTGTTCGTCGGCCAAATTTGACCGACGTTCTATATATGGTCATTCCTTCTGACGTCATCGTTGAGCCCGGAATTGACCAATGACATGCGCATATTTAATTAGAACGCATTTGGCGTATGTTTGTTCAAGCTCGCTGAATGGTGGAAGAAAGGTCAGTGCATAGGTCAGAAGTGATTTATTACCCAAACTGTCACCGGTACCCGTCGTGGGGGCGGGGTTACTAAACTGTATAATATGGTCTCTACTAGGCAGAGTGTAGTTTAACTAGACTCTGCACGCAGGGTAAATTATCGCCCACGTAATATTTTTCGTAAGTATTCATATGTTTTTCACATTTATAATCCACATATAATCAAGGTTGTCGCATTTAAGGACTATCATTTTATCATTTGCTATATTGCAAACCTTATTGTTGATCTTTTATTGAATAATAAGCCAACAGACAATGTCTTTGAAATTTATGTCAAATCAATTTTTTTCAAGTCTCAATCAATCAGTAAATGCAGAGTAGACTATTGGGTTCATCCTAACTGCATTTGTTTGATTTCTTGAATTCATCTTCACTCACTCAGATTACAGTAAATCTCGAACTCGAGCGAGCCTATAATATTGCCCAGTATTGTTGTGTCGTTTTCTATAACCATTTCCAAAACATACTGGATTGAAAGCCCAAAGTTTCCAATATTGTCTAGGTACAAGGTTCAATTATTCCAGATTTGAATAAAACCCATACCGAATGACTTAGTCTATATCCAATAGACTGAATTTCCTGAGAATTCAGTTTTTATGTTTTCTAATATCATGGGCTATCAATTAGAAGGGTATGCAACTCTGTGTAATAACATGAAACCTTCAAAATGAGCAATGTCATGCTTCCCTTTTATGGTAATATTTCAAAAAGTATTAGATAAATGTATATGTTTTAGTATTATTTTGAATAAAAATCTATTTTCAATATGATTAAAGCATAAAATATATTCAATCTCATGTAAAAGTAAACAAAAAAGGACCAAGAATAAGAGATATCAAGATGTTCGAGTATTGCATTGTGGGTAATTATTCAAGAACACGTTCCAATAAAAAATATAATTTGTGGGAGAATGTTCACTTTCTGTATTGTCATAATTAAAATGAATTCAATTTTTTATTAAATTATCTACATGTACATGTATGTAGATAATCATGTTTTTATTTTTGAGTTATTTCTTAAATCATCCATAAAAAGGAAAAAATAAGATTTTCTTGGAATGTGTACATTCTCCAATTATGAAAACTCAAAGGCAATGCTTATGTATGAAATATGGGAAGTTGCCTACCCTTCTAGTTGAAAGCCCATGCTAATATGAATGGCTTCTCTTATAAACCTATTGTTTCTGTTCCTTTCTGTGCTAACTATTTTATAATTGTTCCTGTCACGTGGTTTTCTTTAACAATTGCTCAATATACCCCCACCCCTCTCCTCTGCATCAACAATAAGCTTTAAGTGGTCGCGCAATCTATCAATAGCCTTATTGAGAGATTTCTGTTGCAATTCATTTCAGCACTTTAGGATTCTGTTTCAGCTCATCAATGCTGTTTATTGGATGCTTTTGATTGTACCATTTCCTTGAGATGGCTCCATATATTGTAATCTAACACATTAGCACCGGGGCTGTTCGGTGGCTAAGCATCGAGATCAATCAAATTGACACCTTGTTTGCAAAGACATGCCAATGTCTCCTTTGATCTATGGTACGAGGCAATGTCTTGTTGGAAAATAAAATCCTCGTCACATACACGTTTAATGTCTTTTAACAGACCCCCTTTGAGTACTTATTGATAATAAACAACACTAAAATTCATAAACAATAAGTTTAGTCACACAATATGCTAATATACAAGCATGTATTCACCTAACAAAATGATATTCTATAAATAAAAAATTAACATTATTCCGCAGATTTACTATTTTCTCCCTAAAATCTGGATACCTTAAAAGTTGGGTATTGGTTTTTTGGCCCACCCTGTATAGTGTTTGTTGGGGTTTGCTCCTTGTAGTTGCCATTTTTTAGTTTATTAAAGCTGTTAAAAGAATCTTTTTATTGTTTCTAGTGTAGTGACTCTTTTTCTTATCTGCTCCTGTTTTGTGCTCCTTGATGCGAGTGCCAAGAGGTCTACTTGTTTCTCCTATGCAACTTTTATTACAATTGTTGCAGGTACATTAGAAAACATAAAAACTTCAATAGAGACATGGGCAACTTCAATCTAGATTGCTTGTGGGATGAAGTTAGCCAAAACAATTAATTATTTTTTTGACGTTGTTAAGGTTTAATGACGTCATAGTAGATTTACCTGTATTCATTTCATCTGTTTTCAATTTAAATTTAGTGATCATGGATGCAGTTTGCATTCGAAACAACTAAAACAAAAAATTATATAGATAAAGTCTGTGACAATGAACTAATAAATGGATTTAATATTACCAGACTATGAACTTATTTAATGTATATTATTTAACAACAGTCTTATAGTATCCTATCACTCGAAATTATAACTGTAAATGTATCTATTAGCCTCATTCAAAATAATATGGAGATTGCAATCTGGGAGCCAATCCTCCTTGGAATTTCAATCACAAGGTTTTGTCTTATTTCCAAACAAAAAAAAATCAAAACAGGAGAAGTGATCAAAATATTAGTTCATGTTTTCATATATTTTTAGATGGTAAGAGACAAGTGTATCCACTATGTATTTAGTATTTCTTCATGTCTATGTCTATGGCAAAAAGAGTTTGCGAAAGTTTGAAAAATACATTGTTTTTTCAGTGTTTCAGTAACTTTTGCTAATAATGATTTTTAGAAGCTACAGATTTTCTTATTGAAAGAAAGGGATATTTGAGGGTAAGGACTGTTCATTGTTTGTTGTTAAAGGGTAAAAGCTACATCAAATTATCAATAATTTTTTTAACTTTCAGAGAATGTATGACACACCAATCAGCTTACAGGATTCATGCGTGGAATATATTTGTGACAATATTGAATCAGTATGTGACGTCCAAGCAAGTCCTGTGGAATCTAACACTAAACTCACATTCAAAGATCCGGATGTATACTTTCATCACAACATTTCAGACCAACTTTTAAAACTGCTAAGTGAGAAAGGCAAATTGACTGATGAATTATTATCCCTTTTTGACCCACATATTGTAAGACTTCGACATGTTTGCATACGCCATGGGAAGTTATCCTCCAAGGGACTACGGATTTTAAAATCACATAAAATACTCGAACTTGAGGCAACAGGATTAAAAGATATCACAGTGAATGATTTGATTGGATGCCTGGGTGAATGGACGCTTTCAAATTTGCGGAATCTAAATGTTGCAAATAGCACATTTGTCACAAATCCCAAGTTCTGCGTAATTGTCTCGTTGTCGAAATTGAAAAGCCTCGTGAGTCTCAATGTCAGTTCTACAGAATTCAATACTCATGGATTGGAAATCATCACTGAGGATTTACCCAATTTGGAAGTTTTAGATATATCATCTACACAAGTTGACGATATTGCACCTTTGAGAAAATGTAAAAAGAGATTAAAATCTCTCTCGATATATAATTTAAGAGCGACAAACAATAAAGATGTTGGCTCAGTTCTGAGTGAACTATCTGAACTGCGATTTCTAGATCTTTCGGATGACTATTCAGTTCAGTTTGTCAGCCTTCAGCCTGTGCCAATACCAGTTGAGGAACTGCTACAGAATGCTGATTGCTTTCCTAATATGGTATCTATTGATCTTTCTGGTAAAGATCGAGTAACCGAGGAAACATTAAGGTAAATATATTCTTAATATCAAAAGTGGTGAGATTGTTATATATATGTAGTCTCCAACTTTTTTGGGGTTGGTGTTTCGGTGCTTAGTGTTCTAAGGTCGGTGTCTGTAAGAATGGTAGGTGGTGACATTGTCCATTTTAATGCCTTGTTTGAAGATAAAATTAGCATTTGGAAGAATCCCATTCAAAAAGTGTCTGGAAATAGTCCTTATCTATTTATTATTTTAGACTATTATTACTTAAAATATAATATATTTATCATGCAATAATTTTTATTGGATCCATATTTTAAAATAAGTCATAAAATCATTGGAATCAAACATGATTTTTTTAAAAGTATTCTATGGTTTACAACTAATAAACGGTGAATATTTTATAGGGAGTTTCTAGATACCCATCCTAAGATCAAGTTTGTTGGCCTTGCCCTGACTGATGTGTGCAATATACCAGAGTTTACAGAGCCAGAATCTGAGGGATACAGGAAGGATCTCACAGTAGGTTTATTCAAGATCATACTAGACCACATAGTCAAAGGGTTGAGTTAGTCATAGGGTTATACTATGGCAAAGTGACAGTCATACAATTGGCTATTTCTGATATGATGTTTGTTTATTGAATTGTATGCCCTTAAGGCTTGAGTCTTGCATTAAGTCTCTGGAATCCCCCTTCATCTACTTGAACACTTAACATCCAAGGGTCTAGTGGAAGAGTGGTCGCAAAGGCTTAAACCAAGACTATTAAGGCTGTTTTATATGATCATACTAACATGAACGTTTTGTGATGTTTAATGTTTAATTGGTGCCACACACAACCATAAATTTTTGCAACACTTAAAATTTGTAAATTATTCTTATTATTTAGATAACTGGAGAGGCTGATCAGAAACAAATTTTGGAGTCATTACGACATTACTACAAACGAGCAGTCTATGTCCAACGAACTCTTTATAACTTATTCCGATTGACGCATACATTTAGAGAGCCGAAGGTAGACATACTAGAGGTAAGTTGCGGTTATGTTTTCAATGAAATTATTAGAATGAACTGAACCTTTCAGTAATATGAAGACAGATATTGTGTATTATAGTAAATTTACGAGGGGTGATCCAAAACTCTTGGACACTGCTCTAATTTTGTTGGTGTTTGATAAAATTACATAAAACCTTCCAATAATAAAGATAAACAACCTAACCACTTAAGTACATAATACATTTTCTTGATCTCTTTTTATATGACACACTCACGTTGATCTATCAAGACATTTTTTGGCAATATGAGTCATTATATACAATGTAATAACTGATTCATAATATTCAAAGTTATTTTTTTATTAATTTGAAGTTAATTCTATGTAGACCAACTTTTTCTACAATTCTTGAAAAAATCCAGGTGTAAAATAATGTAAAATAACATTGCTCGGTCAAACCAAGGTTGATGTTCTAATATTATATTATTGCAGCTGATTCTCCCAGCTATGAAGCATAATCCGAGAGAACTAGGTGTCCAGATGGCAGCAACAGCTTGTCTTTACAACCTTTCTAAAGGTCTTTTGGGGGCAAAGATTCACCCTAAATGGCTAGCCAAGATCATACATCTAACCCTGGATGCTATGGACAATTTCCCAAATCACCAACAGGTAACCGTATATACACTTCAATGTACACAATAAATTGTTTCATCTGGTTTCCAAACAGACAATGGTTAGAGTTACAAAGCAGGCATAATTGCTTCTTCATGAAGCATTTTGAGAAACAAGCTTTGTAACAATGCATTATTGAGTAAATACTTTGTAACAATATCAGTTCTGATGAAGGCCAATCAAACATCCAAATAAAGTATTCATTAAAGATCATTAAGATGTATCTGCAAAAAGAGGATATGATAACATGTTTGTGTTAATGGGACTTCAAAAAATTTATTTGTTAATTCTCTGGAAAGATAAATGATGAACATGAAAACACATACAGTAAAACCTGTATATCTGAACACCTCTCTAATCTGAAAACCTTACAATGTAGGCCATTTGGATAAGACAGGTTTCAGAAACCAAATTGTGATGTGACAGTTGCATCTTATATGTAAATCAATGCTAATGGGTTGTGATATTATGTTTCAGCTACAAAAGAATGCATTACTTACACTGTGTAGTGACAGAATCCTTCAAGATGTTGTAAGTATAGTAACTAACCCTTGGCAAACACTCACCTTGCTTTGACTCTTCTTTGATGTAGCCTATGTCTAATCAAGACACATGTTTGCCAAGAAGTCAATATTTGTGATCATTGAGACCAGTGTTATCAAAGTTGAATATCCTATCCGACTGTATAGTATAAATTGTAAGAGTACAATATATAAATTTTGAAGTGCCACTTTGAAGTTACGTGATGAATGTCAATATTTTCAAACAAATAAATACTTTCTATGGTTGATTTTGTTATTCTTGATTTTTGGTGATCAAATTGCTGAAGTTCTTAATTGAAAAAGTAGGAAGTGTGTTTGTCAGAGTATGTGTGTTTAATAGAGTAAATATGCCAAGTATGTCAATTTTGATTTACAGACGACGTTTGACAAGTATCGCTGTGCCCGCCTGGTGATGGACAGTCTCTGTAATTTCAATGAGCCTTCTATGAACAGAATGTCTGTTGCCATATGTTCCATACTAGCAGCAAAAGTAATAATTGCACCTTCAGTGCATTCGCTATAGTTAGAAATACAAATAATTTTATATTCAAATTAAATCTGTTTTGTGTATTTTAGAATGCCAATATTTTATTACTACGTAGTCTATACAGTTTTTATGTACTATTGTAATAATTAAGTTATAAAAGACTAAAATACCTTACTGTAGGCAGATTCTAACCTTTTATGGTGTACTCTTTATAGATATCCACTGGCCAGACCTCTCAACTTGGCACTATGAAGACATACATGAAAAAGCTACTGACTTTAGTAAAGCAGAAGACTGATGACAAACTGGTTGATATCACAATGAAATTTACGCTCAGCGCTTTATGGAATCTTACAGGTATGCCATCTATTGTCTCGTCATGACGTTTATTTTTATTAACAATATCAAGTTTTAAAATCAATTTTTGTCAAAAGAGGTGAAATTAAGAATATTGGGTGAAAAAAGTGAGACATTGAGTGTTGAACCTAAAAACTAAAGAAAATTGCATTTTAAAACTTGAGTTCTTGTTCAAACCAATGATACAGCCTTATTTAGAATTTGATGACTACTTGTTTTCAACAAAGATAGTCAAACAAAATGCTATATATCAAAATTGTAAGAAATGGAAGAAAGATTTATCCATAATTTTTATCATTTTATTTCAAAGAATCACTGTTTTCGTGTAATTAGCTGATTTGTTGCAATTTCTAGATGAATCCCCAGAGACTTGTGAAATGTTTCTACAGGAGGAAGGCTTGGAGTTATTCATTGCCACTTTACAGGTACATATGATATTCCACATATTACACTGTTATAGACAATATTTAGCACAAGTATAGATAATACTTCTATTCATCACATTCCAAGTAGGGTTAGATAATATTCACCACTTTACAGGTACATATATTCAACATATTACACTGCTATAAATAATACATAGCACAAGTGTAGACAATATTCATCACAATATAGGTATATATAAAGATTATCCTATATGAGGTTCAGGATATTGGGATTATCCCAAGGCTAATATTATTTCTCTGTAGGTCCCGAGGGTAGACATATTATATTGGCCAAGGGATAATCCCAATATCCTGAACTGACTATAGGATGATCTGTTTATCTGCTACACATTAGAAGTATAGGTATTCATTAATTCTATGTTTATAAATTATTCCAGGCCTTCAAAGAAGAAGAAGGGAGGAAAGAGGTGGAGACTAAGATACTAGGACTTATGGTAACTTTATAATTATTGTTATTTAATAATTTATATTTTTTAGTCATTACTATATTCTCTCTAATCAACGTACATAGGCCATAGCCCAATAAATCCACACCTTACTTTTTCCATTAAAGACCTTGGTAATTATGATTTTATATTTATTATAAAGTTCTGCCTTCCATTTATTCCATACATTTTGATTATGTATCGATTGGACCAAAAATAAGTTGTTTTTGAGTTTTTATGAAAAGTCTCTTGATTGTAAAACTCTAAACTGAATTTCAAAAGTAAACATCCTTACTTCATAATGTTTATATACTGATTTATAGAATAATATCGCTGAAGTGAAGCATCTCAGACACAGGTTGATGCAGGAAGACCTCCTTAACATCATAAAGTAAGCAAATTGTTTTTATGTCCAAATTTGGACAATTTAATTTTCTTTTAAATGTCTTTGAAATATGGGTGGGAAACTGGGCTTCATTTAGTTATAGTAATTAAATTAATTTGAAAACATTTGGACCTAAAACGCAGTAATAGTAAACAATACTGGACCATTTTAAATCCCAGTAGTTCTAAAGACGAATTATTAAAAGTAAGTTTAGATACTATGAAGGAATATTATGAAACACTTTATAAGCCCCAAACCAGTGGAAATAACATGAGTGAAAATGAAATTGACGAACATTATAAAGATGATTTTGCACACAAACTTAACTTAGATATTCTAAACAGTGAAATCACAAGGGATGATGTATTTCAAGCCATTAATAAACTGAAAAATGGTAAAGCGTGTGGGATAGATAACATTTTAAATGAATATATTATATATAGCAAAAACATTCTTATAGACATATGGGTGAATTTATTCAATAAAGTATTGAATACCGGTGAGGTACCTCAAGACTGGCTACTAGGCCTTATTAAACCTATCTATAAAAACAAAGGTGACCAGAACAACCCCCAAAACTACAGAGGGATTACTCTACTAAGTTGCGCTGGAAAGTTATTCATTACTATTCTGAATAATAAACTGACCTCTTTTATAGAAGACCTGCAACTACTAGATGAAAATCAATGTGGTTTCCGAAAATTACACAGTACTGTTGACCACATTTTTGTCCTAAAATGCCTAATTGATGTATTTTTACACTCAAAGAAGGAGCTGTACTGTGGTTTCATTGATTATTATCTATATTAAATGATTTGAGAAATAATTTTCTAGCTTCTGTTAATACACTGGCCCCTAACATTGATACTGGTACAAATGATCATATTATGCTGTTCTCTAGACTTATGCACACACCCTGTATACAGAGAACCTTTGCAAGTACACTGTTTAAGATGTTCAGTAAAAGGAACTTTGATCTAGAAAGACTTTAACAGAACCTATATTTGTAATTACTCAAGAATAGCAAACTAATGAATTGTCTCATATTCTATTTTGTTATAAGCACAGAAATGTTATCTGTCAATGGTCAGTTATATATTTATATAGTATGACTGGATGGAGGCCATATAAAATCGATTTTGCCACTTTACAGCACCTTTTACTCACTATTTAGAATTGTGATACTGTCATAATGTATAAATGATGCATAAATATTTCCATAATAATGTATAACATAATAGCAACTCTGTAAATCTACTACATTGTGGGGACCCCTTTGGGGGTATTGGACCAACCAGAGGGCCCTCACATCACCAATTGATCATGGTTTCTTTTTCCACTTATCTACAGGAACATCAACCTTGGGGAAGATGTCTCCTTTCAGTATAAGTAAAGGAACAATGAACTTTGTATACATGGTCTCTATGACTGTTTATTTTGCATTTAGTAAGTTTACATTGAAAATTGAATATTTTGTTGAAAAATGAATATTTTGTATACATGTACCATATGGTGTCTCATAAGCCGGCATCGGCTGGAAGCAAATGTTTTTAAAATGTTTTAAATGTATTTTAACATGCTTGTGACACAAAAATAAACTATATTAAACTAAAAAAAATTATTCCTCATCTTTTGATCGAATACGACATGATGGACTATGGCTAAAATTAATTAAAATGTATGGGATAAAAGGGAAATTTTTAGTACTAGTACAAAACATGTATGAAAATATGAAAAGCTGTATTATTGACAAACATCGTAATCAGTCTGAATTTTTCGAGATACTCTGTGGATTGAGACAGGGAGATAGTATTTCTCCACTGAAGCATTCATTATATTTGAATGATGTTGAGAAATATTTATTGAAAAATAATTGCAATCAGATTAATGTTGGAAATGAAATAGATGGATATTTAAAATTATTTGTCTTGCTCTATGCTGATGACACAGTCATCTTTGCCAATAGTAAAAATAAACTACAAGATGCCTTTTCTTCGCTAGAAAAGTGTTGTGATGAATGGCAAATCAAAATTAATACTGACAAAACAAAATATATGATCATCAGTAGGAAAAAATTAAAAAGAACTGACAACATTACCCTTAATGGCAGTGTAGTTGAAAATGTACCTCACTTTAAATATTTAGGAGTATTTTTTGATAGCAAAGGTAGTTTGAATTTAAATATGAAACATTTGTATAGTCAAGCAGAAAAGGCAATGTTTTCAGTTCTTAGTAGATGTAACAAATTTGCATTACCTCTTAAAACACAGTTGCATTTATTTGACACCCTAGTTCTGCCAATATTAATGTATGGTGCCGAGATATGGGGTATGACAAATAACAAACTGATCGAAAAACTACATCTTAAATTTCTAAAATATATTCTTAGGGTCAAGAAAACAACTCCAAACTATATGGTTTATGGGGAACTTGGTAGATTCCCTCTATATATAAAGTCTAACACATGTATCTTGAAATTTTGGTATAAATTAGCAACAAGTAGCTCTGACAGTTTAAAGATGAGTGAAAAAATGTACAAATTGTGTAAAAATATGTATGACAGAAATGTATTTTCCTCAAATTGGTTTACTTATGTGAAAAACACATTAAACAATCTTGGCATGTCAGATGTTTGGATAAATCCAAAGTCAGTTAGTTATGCAGAGTTTATCAAAAAAGTAAAAGTAAGGATGCAAGATCAGTTTTTACAAAAGTGGAATAGTGACATGAAAGTCAGTAGTAAAAGTTGCAACTATAAAATATTTAAAACAGAATTTTCATTTGAACAGTATTTAGACTGTATGCCAGATAAATATAGAAAAGTTCTAATTATGTACAGATTGTGTAATAATAAACTTCCAGTTGAAAGAGGACGTTATAAAAATATTCCTAGGGAAAATAGGTTTTGTGATTTATGTGGTAAAGGAATAGGTGATGAATTTCATGTCATTTAAGAATGCAAAGCTTTAAGTTATATTAGAAAAAGATACCTTCCTAAATGTTATACCACAAGACCAAACACACAGAAGTTTGAGAAATTAATGAATTCAAACAAAAATATACTCATAAAACTTTGTAAATTTTTAATCGAGGCTGGGCAAAAAAATGTTCTTACATGTATATAAATGTTATTTTAATGTTTGTTACTGTATTAGTTAAGTTTGTCTTTTGTACTCTTGTACCCTATAAGGGGTGAATTGAGAAATCAATAAATAAATAAATAAGTAGATTATCTTTCAATTAGTGTACTAAATGATTGTATAATAACCCAGATGCGAGTAGAAATAATCTTACTTTACGTCATTAAAAATTCAAAATTCAGTCAAAGTAATATCATATTTGAAATCTACATGTAAAATTACATCTAGAAATATGGTTTTAAAAAGTGTTTATCAACTTTGAAAAATTAATTTTCTTTGAAAATGTGACTTCTAGCTCGGGGAGATTCCCCATAGACCCCATGCTATAAAATCACAAAAAATGAAATATCCTTTCTTTTAGTGGACAGATAACATTTTGCTTTACTGGACATATTTTCATTAGTATAAGTATCAGACGCATAAGGGTTATATGAAAATTGAGCCACTTAAATTGATAATATTCAAGTTTAAGGGAACTTTCTTATATACCTGCCATGTTAATTGACCCGAATCAGCCACCTGGTGGTGAAACTGGTAACTACCTACTCGCATTTGGGTAATTGTCTCATACTAAATTTAAGCAGTATTGATGATTTGTAGAATTAGTGTGAAATATAAAGATGGCTACAATCTCATGAATATTTAATTAAAATGTTATTTCTTCAGAGAGCTGCTACAATCGAAACACATAGACATCAGTTACTTTGCAGCAGGGATCGTGTCGCATTTAGCATATGACATCCACCTATTCAGCAAGGAGGATGAAACTGTGAATGAAATGGTGAAATTACTGGTAAGTACCTTAGCGGGTCTTATTGCTTGTAAAAACTGAACATCGTAAAATTTTATCGCACCTGAAAATGGTACAATATCGTCAACGGTGTGGCAGGTGATGTATGACAGAGGCACATCAGTTTCTTGTCAGCTCATATCTAGAAGAATTTGTTGACAGATTGATTTTTAATTTTCAGGGATATTTCTTGGTTTGAAAATCTAGGACTGATTAACTGGGTGGATTTTAAAGTATATATTAAAGTATTTTTTATTTGTAGATACAATTGTTCACTGTACTTCTTGTTGAATGAAATCCTTTATTGGACTTATCAGTAGGGATGACACAAAATGAAAAAGTGATAGCTTATGTAAAAGTATAAAATATAGAAATTATCAATGGCCAAGGTTATGTAAGTTATTGTTGATACCCTAATGAATGATACGTAGATGAAATGGTTCTTTAATGAAAATTTACATTGATGGATGCTGTTATTTCAGGGGGAAGTTGTACTAACATGGGAACAGCCGAAGACAGAAATGGTGGCATACAGGTCAGTGATATTTGAAAAAGCTTTTAGAAACAAGCTGTTGAATACATTAGAGGCTTAGTCGAGCATGATTCAGGGGATTACCATATAAAATTTTACAGAAATTTCTTCATTCAGACATCTCTAATTCAAATGAAACTAAAAAGTGAAGTAAAAATCTCAGTGAGCCTTAATTTTCCCCATCTGTGACTTGTAAACACCAGTGATTTGATAACCCACCTGAATAATATTATATTCATTTTTTAAATATCTCAATAAATATCCTGTTTAAAATTTACTCATACATCTAGTATGTGTTTCAGGTCATTTAACCCATTCTACCCCCTGCTACAGTGCCACAGCTGTCCCCCTGTACAGATGTGGGCAGCATGGGCCATTCTACACGTATGCACTAATAACCGTAAGTTCATTTGTGCTAACATATTATTGTTCTTTCTTCCCTTAAGGTTGGTCTCGTGGGTTTGTCTTTTTGTTTGCTCTTTATATGAGTAAACAGGCCAGCAAGTAACACTTCTTGCATTCAGCCTACCTTAAGATATAGAGGTTCTTAAATGAGTACCTGTGCAAGATCGTTCATTCTTGATGAGCTTTGATAATTCTTCTTTATCGAGTCGCAGACGAGATAAAGAAACATTATAAAAGCGAATCGAGAATGGATGATATTGCACAGGTACAAGTACAAGAAAGTTTTTCTCATTATGACTCTTTATTATGCCATATTTTCACCTTTTTATGATAAAACTGAGTAAAAAATAGCTAGAAATTAATGGAACTTCATTATTTAATTATTATGACGTCATAACAATATTGTATAAAATACATGGATATGTGTGGCAACAAAGCTACATTGTTATGACGTCACAGCCAAGTTTTGTAGAATGAGCATAACAATGCTGTACTCGTTGCCATGTTGTTGATGTTTATACACCATTGATGTCAAAAGTAAATCTCATCTTGCACGTGTGACTTTTTAGGATGAAAGATGGCAATATCTTGCATGGGGTAAAGATTGCTGTATCTTTGTTAGTCATATGAGAAACAAATATATTGTAATTAGAAAGGAATAAAGAGACAACTCTGAAATCAACAATATCAGACTTGAATATGTCCCAACTCTTGAGTTTTTGTATTTTATTGTGTTTTATGTCTGCTTAAGGTGAGAGTTGGACTTAAATTAAAGCATTTGTTAACAACTCACGGAACCCTTGTGTTCATTATACAAACTTAATGACCTGTGTGTTTTCAGGTCAGCGCTACTGCCCCATGTTGACGCAAGGGCAAGGTAGAGAAATCCTCTTCAGTTTGTTTAACAATCCAGAAACTCATCCAGATGTATTCAAAATCATTTTGAAGATTCTTGAACTTCTCTTCCCCAATGAATCACCCTTTACAAGTGCAAAGGATATATCATTAGATCAAACCTCATGAATATGCATGAAGAAGGGATTCAACCAATCAGGATGAAGAACTTGACAAAAGTAACACTATTTTGTCACCATGAGAACAGTTGTGTTTGTATGCTTGAGTGGAGAAATACAACATATACAGAGGACGTTGTTCCCTTTCCTTAGTGAGGTGATATGAATTTCCAATGATTACATCTGTTCATAGATTGGAGACTGCAATTAAGAAATATAGACCGAAGAGCAGGGGAAATATTGTTGAATACACACCGCAGGGCTAGGCACAAACATTTTCGAAAGCTTTTGTGCCTAGCCATAAGAGGTGTGTTCGACAATATTACCCTTGCTCTGAGGTCTATAACATGAAAACTCACATAAATGTTTCAAATATTTATTATGGTCCGCCATTACTACGACCCGCCGTTATGATGTCACACAATACGCGTATTCTTCGTGAATATACCCCGGGTGAAATGTTGACTTTGTTTACAGTTTATAAAAAGCGTGAATACAGTCATGTTCGAAAAAGCGAGCCAAAAGGGGATTCTGAAGACGGAACACAACAGCTTTGGAGAAACAAAGTTAAGATTGTCAACTCTTTTTCCTTAATTTGCATTTTATGGCAAATATACTCAATTATGATATTTTCACACACTATTCAAAGGTTTGTGTGACACCCCCCCCCCCAAAAAAAAAATGGGGCTGTCAAATTCTCCATCCTAAGAGCAGATGAGCCATTCAATTTTCCCCACCCTGGCAGCAATAATACTTGGTAAGATTTCAAAAGTCCTTATTCCTGGGATGAAGTATTATCTCAAAATCTTACCCCCTGGAACAATACTACATGTCTAAATCCTGACTCTTCCCATATTGGGGGTCCCTCGCAAACCTTTGAATTGTGCATCTGGAAAATATAACAACTTAGTTATATTTATTTATATAAACTGAGTAAAAAATATAAAGTGATTTTCTTGCTTTGACCTTGTATATTAGTTTATATTAGGCTCAGATAAGAGCTACCAATACTGCAATTCTGTGTTAAATATATTGTATATAGGGGCATGTATGTCATTAGACTCAGGCAGATTTAAATGTGTGGACACAGTGGCTCAAATTTATGGAATATTTATCTAGCATACACAAATAGATTAAGAATCCTCACAGAACAAATGTCGAACATTTCTCCAAGAATACTGGAGATATTGTATCATTTTTACACACAGTGTCAGTCAAATACAAGCTCACTTACAAATCTGGATGATTTTACGTACATTTGCCTCACATCAAGAGCTAAATGAGTGGTTGCCCAAATTTTAAAGGCTAGGATACAGATATGAGTGCATAATATCATCCACAATGCATCGAGTCATGTGCTTAAATTCCTTTTACTCATTGTGAAAGATTTTGTACAGTATTACCAAATAGAATGAAATTCAACCAGAAACTTTTTGCAAGGCTGTATTCGTTTTGTGAACTTGCGAACTTGCTCTGCATTATGATACTATTTATAGTTTTTCTCAACTGCCAACTTAAAATTATAAAATTGGTGACGGTAAACAATTTCTCTGAATCTAAAAATAAGCATTCACTCTGTATTCTGATTGACTCAATTTTTGATATATCCTACTTAGCTATGTGTGAATGAACTCTCAAAAATAATGGGGATTCCCAGTCAGGACCTCTGTAACAAAATAACATGAGTATTCCATAAATATGATTACTGGTGTCACTTCGTATTGAATGTAGTATATGTATACAATATGTAAATAAATCTAGTCATTGTCTTTATTGCCTATAACTACAATAGTCAAGAAATGAGGCTATATTGTATTAAAATATAGCTGCAAAAGTTAATTTTTCACAAGTGTACTGTGTTGTAAATTGTCACCATGGTGAGATAATGCCTGTTTGTCTTTACGATAAGAGTCACTAATAAATATGAAAGCTCATAATTTGGGTGAAAAGTCTAAAAGAAAAATATGCATTAGGTTAAAACTACTGTTTGTAGCACATAATGTTAGATAATACTTAAATTGGTTAAACATTATGGTGAATGCAGTTGAACACTTAAAGGAATCATGCCAAAATAATTCTTTGCAAAATCCAGCATCAAATAATTATCATACATAAGTATGAAAGGATATGTGGGATAAATAGTCTGTTTTGATAGCCACTATCTTTGTTTCTAGAGTCCTCATACATTCAGTGATCATGGTAAAATAATTACACCCCCAAGTATGTGTCACTCTAGTGTAAGTCACAGCCAGGACAAAAGCTTAGAAAACTGGTGAAAAATATAAACAAACAATATTAACTTTATATACAATTCAAAAATCATGTTAAAAGGCAAGTAAAAAACAGGCAATATTTGGCCAGTGTGTATTGTGTAATTTTTACTGAACTCCTTTTATTGAAGAATAACTCTGATTGTCTTATAACTTATTGTCCTGGCTGTGGCCTAAAGAGCATGTGACCAGTTAGGTATGTAGCTACATACAATTTATGAGGACTGTACATGGATGTATGCATATTAAGAACATAGAATCTAAGTAACAGCCAAGATAGATTTATATAACCAAGTAGAAATCTGTGATTTTTAAATACTTTACAAATAGATTATAATATATAATGACAGTGTACATTAGATATGTATAAATATTCAGTTTCTAATCATCCAAATTAGGATGATCTTTGAGTTTTATATTGTAGTACAGGAGTACATGGGAGTATTGAACCTGATTCAGTCTGATACGTAACCCCAAGGAATGCCACATTAAGTAGACCGATACTAAGTGTACATATTGAATGTTATAGTGTCTTCATTTTTCAATTTTTACTTATACAAGTAGCATACAACATATAATGTACAGCTTTATCATAGTAATATACTACTTTCTAAAGGATTTAAGTCCAGGGCACAATAAATTGTGTACATTTTAAGCATGAATGTCTTGTTTCCAATTTTGAATGAGAGGCTAGGATGCAAGACATGAGTGTACTGTGTGAAATGTCTATATTAAAGGTAGTATCAGACGTAGCAAAATTGTGTTTATCTGTTTATTTTTGTCTCATGATTCATTCTCAAATGCTTTTTTCTGTACCCTAAAACTTTGTAGATTTTTGAGATTTTTACTTTGATTGTAATTTGATCAACCCCTATGAAATCTTCTAGCTTTATTCAATCCTTATGTATGAGATACGTGTTGATGTGTATCTTGTGAGGAACACATAGCTGTCATCTTGTGAGGTACATAATATCTATGTCCTTTTGTGAGGAACACATAGCCGTGCCATCTCGTGAGGAACATAAATCTATTTTGTCTTTTGAGATACATATAGCATATGTCATATACATGTATGTCATCAGTTATTTTATAACAGCTTGGGTACCATGTTGAACTGATAAAATGGATGAAGAGTTAGGATTTACTTGCATACTTTTACTTAATTTGGCACTAATTGATTTGTCAGATTTGGTGAAGACTCCAATTTGGTGAGAATAAATGTGAAATTGGCGATATTTCCAGGAGAGAGCATGTTGCTAAGACAATGGAAAGTCAACGATCATATTTTGACATTGCCATGATTTTATACAAAGTGATCAATTTAAAAATTGAATAATCATTATTGATTTGTTATATTCAATTGCCAAAAATATAAATTGCCAAATTCGCTAAATTAAAAAGGCCGCCAAATTAAGTAGAGTAACAGTATTCCCTTTTCCAATATGTACTCAATCAAAAACAGATGAAACTTAAGTAAATTTGGCCCTTAAATGTTATTAAATAAAATCATGTGAAACAAAAGTAATATTGTTTGTATATTCTATAATATAATATTTATTTATAATTACAGGTCAACTGTGCTGTACATTGGGAATCAGGTGTAAATCTAGCCAGATTAGTCTTACATCAGGTTCAGAAAATGAACCCTCCTCTATTCCCAATCTTCTGATTCAGGAACAGAAGGGTACTGGATTGATGCAAGACTAACCCCAATGAATAAATACACTATGTGCTCTTGCCTCAATAATATATTCTACAAGAAAAATAGTACACTTGCTTTAAGTGGGAATAATTATATATACAATTTCTTGATCCACACAAAATGTTTAAGAAAATATGACCCTTAAATAATTGAAAGTATTATAGTACATGATTGCTAATGCATACTTGAGTATATAGTTCAACATGCAATATAATTATATTGCAATCAATAAATCGTAGAGTTTATGTCAAAGCCAACAAGCACTACCACATTGCCTATATCATGATCAGCTATGGATCAAATATATGTCTGTAGAACTCATTGCAAGATTTAAATTTTCTCTAAAAGGTTCAGAATTTTTCATGCAGAAAACTGCAGAGAACTTGAATGTGTAAATACTTGAAATACAAACAAAGTTTGAATAAAACATCATTATTGCACTTGCTAAGTCATAATTACTATGACATCATTGATAACTGATGCTTCAATGAATGGTGCATTATGGTTTAAACTATAGCTGCAAGACAGCCTCTGCTCCGTGTGCAATGTATTTAGGAAACTGAGACAGATTTAATAGTAAAGAAGAAGGTATGAGACACCAATATCCCCACTATCCATTTTTGTATATTGAGTGCAGAGGCCTGGACGCAGAACATCGAAATCGATGAGGGATTTAGTCATTATCTGTTTTATGTAGAAGTTCTCCCCAGGAAGTTCTATCACCTTTATTTCACAACTGCTGAGATTCCAATGCCTTGAAGCACATTTGGAATTAGTATAAGTCATACCATGTATTAATTCTGTACACCTCATTCATGATACACTGCATACACAGTTCCGATTGCGAATAGAGAATTATTGCGGAATTCTGATGTGGCGAAAGTGTCATATCCCGAGTCCCATAGACACCTACTCCCGACGCGTATCCCCTGCTCTCCCTTCTGGCCTATATGGATAACACAAATCACCTTATAGCGTGGGACCATCAGATCCTTTACACGAGCCTTTACTACCTGAAACAAAATTGAGATTCTTGACTGGAAAATCTTTTGACCATCAGAATTTAATATTGCATGATGTAAACTACAGTGGTGCAAATCTTGGAGAAAACTAGAATAGACTCATTTATGAAAAACTGAGCCAGGAGTCTTTTATGTCTTTATTTTTGCAAAAAACAATGAAGGAAATTGCAGGAAATCACTTCCAAATTCACTTAACATTGTAAATAAAAAAGAGAAAATTCAGTGACCTACATTTTTTGTACAAAACTTTTAAAAAGTAGGTCACTGAATTTTCTTTTTCATACATCATAAAAGAAAATCATTCATACTTAAATAATAATCTAGGTACTACTTTTTGAGCAAAACTGAAAGAAGTTCACCAAGTATATGGAATGAATTATGTGTATCTGAAAATAACATGGGACTCAAATTCGGTAGCCGTTTTTTCTGAACATAGGGAATTATTTACATGAAAACTCATGAAAGATGATTGCAAAGGTTACCTCTGATATAGTTTTGGTCATCTGTCGACACATTTCAGGTTCATACTTCTCTTCCTGTAGATAATTCGAGAGCACATCTGATATGATGGTCTGCACACTTCCAGTCGGAAACTTTTTGGCTGGCTCCATTTGGTAAGTTGGCTCCATCTTAACGGGAATCCTGGGATTGTCATGATCGTGTGTGTCATTATATGAGACTGTACTCATTGACCTAGAATCGAGATCTGACATGTTACAATTATGCAACAAAAATATTTTGTAAAAAATCTGTAATGATGCCTGCCACAAATGTTAATCTATTGTTTAGGTATCTGTAGCCAATGTTACTCACTAAAAATCATATCTGAGCTTTTCTTAATTTCTTATGTATCAATTATATATGAGGACATTGGTTTTATCTCTCATCTTTCTATTCCTTTGATATTGTATTAAGTGTTGTATTGCATGTGGGATTCAAATTTTGAATTTCAGAACTATCCATCACTTTTGACAAACAACAGATCTTAAATTGAGGACCTAGCCTGACTTTGAGTTTTGAAGGGAAATACATGTATATATGGGCTTAGTCTAACCCTAATATAATTGTGTCCTGTCGGGTTTGTATGTATCATAAAATATGGTTTATCAATAATTAAAATTTCTTCAGTCCAGGTGTTTTTGAAAAAATAAGATCAAGTGAAAAAGGATCAAATGATAAATGTGAATAGTGCACACATTGTTAAATAATTCTTGAAAAAGAGTGTAGTGTTTTGGCATTGAAATGGAGCAAACCCAAAAATGCTAATATTGTAATTTTTAAAAGGTTGTTCCTTATCTCTCATACTTCCTTTTGTATCCAACATATTAATTATGCATATCGTTTTTTTATAGATACCATTGTTTTATCCTGGCCATTCTACGTTGTCTCCTCTGAACATAACTAGATATGGATCCTCCATTGAAAGACATTCTCAATTTCTTGAAGTAAACTTTCTGAATCAAACAGTATTCGGTATCACGAGAATATATGTAATTCTTTGTTCGTTTTGAAATGTTTCAACTTTTAGAGTAACAGTGCATCTTTTATTTGTAACATGTAATTCTTCACTGCTGGTTGATATCACAAATGTATAAATCATTGTTTATGTTTAGGCTAATCACTAGTTGTTACTATCTTACATTCAACTAACCTAAGATAACCTAACTTATTCTTGAAATTAGAAATACATACTAAGAATTACTGTAACATCACAAAATACATGACTTTTACATAAACATGGAGCACTCCATTTATCTACCCTGTTGTCAGAACCTAAATGATCTCATAAGTAACTTTTAAAGACTTTAATGAATATTTCATTATGACCTAAATGTTGGGTACTTTATGGAAGCATAAAATTCAGTGAATCTTATTTTGATTGTGTAGATGTATTTTTATTCACATTCTCTTGTATCTCAGTTATCTGATTGGACAAGGCTATATCAAAGGATTATCTCTGGCTCAAAGAATGTATCTGATCTGAAGCTCTCTCTCTTAAAGGCACACTATACTTCCAGTATTAATTTAGAATAAAAATAATCATTGAAACATGTTACTCACACACTTGCTCTAATATGACACAAAGTTTGATTTGCTTTAATATTGGACCAAGAAAAAAAATAACTCACAAAGAAAAAAGCATTTGAATTTCAGAGATCATTAGATATTGTTGCACATGTAAACAAAGTGCATGTTTTAAATTACTATTGAGTTAAAAGATGGCGACACTTCTATAAAAATGAATGTATCATGTAACATTGATAAAAACTTGATATATAAAGCTTGACAGATCAAAAATATTTTTTGATAATTTATTGTAAGCTTTGATGTGGTCCATTTGAGCTGTTGTTGGTGTCAAATGAAAGATAAGGTTCTTATCAATGCATTGGACATAGTATGAAATTTAAATGTAAGTCTTTATTTTGCCCAAACATGTTGAAAATTCCCAAAGTGGGCCTTCAAAGAAGCAAAATCATACAATTGGAAAATGTACCAATTAGTATGGGTATTGTAGTTAAACTATACTTGTAGAAATATTGTGTTATCTTAATCCTCAATAACATGGTGTAGATCTGTAAACATCATAATACTAATACTCCATTTGTCATTTTCTTAACGTATGAATATTTAAAAACATGATGTTTTTCTGTGCAAATGCTATCATTAGGGTTTATTGGAGTGATTTAGCTGGGTTGCCAAAAAATTAACGTTGGGGAAAATTTTTGTATCTATCACCATGGTAACATACCAGGTACATGGTGGTATCCCAACGCTAAGTCAATAGTCAACGCCATGTTAAGCCAATGCAACCCTCCCTAATTAGCCGATATACTTTTTTCCCCAAAGTAACTTTTTGTCCAACCCAGTTAAATCACTTCAGAAAACCCTTGTTATTATAAATTAACCATAAAACATTGTGTTTTTAACAATTCATAGGTTCACTATAGTATGTATAGGGGTGACAAATAGACTATAAGAGTGTACTAGGATTCAAAACTACATGTTTATACAGGGTGGGAATGTCTGAAGTATGATATTTTACTTAGATATACCAATAATTTCACCCAATTTATTTCATACTTTTGAGGTAAAATCCTTTAATTGTACTGTCTGCATAAATTACACTGTATTCTATCATTTTCCTCAATAGAATTTTACTTGAACATTTTACTTGTCTGACATTTTTCGTATTATTTAGGGGACAGTTTTATACTGGATGAAAAATGCCACAACTGGTGAATACGTCTCATTGAATATGTCTTTTTACTGACATTACAGTGCTTGGCCGATAATTATCTCCTCTTATTTTTTGATCACATGTATGATATAGACGCAATAAGATAGTGGAGAATATGACAGTGATATAATAATGCCTAATCTTTCATGACATGTGATCTGACCTTGACCAACATATAATTGCAAGCTTACAATTACAATGATATGCAACTTACCCATGTTTACCCTGAGGACCAATGCCAGATATAAACATGCAACTTACCCATGTTTACCACGAGGACCAATGCAAGATATAAACATGCAACTTACCCATGTATACCCCGAGGACCAATGCAAGATATAAACATGCAACTTACCCATGTTTACCCCGAGGACCAATGCAAGATATAAACATGCAACTTACGCATGTTTACCCCGAGGACCAATGCAAGATATAAACATGCAACTTACCCATGTATACCCCGAGGACCAATGCAAGATATAAACATGCAACTTACCCATGTTTACCCCGAGGACCAATGCCAGATATAAACATGCAACTTACCGATGTTTACCATGAGGACCAATGCAAGATATAAACATGCAACTTACCCATGTTTACCACGAGGACCAATGCCAGATATAAACATGCAACTTACCCATGTTTACCCGAGGACCAATGCCAGATATAAACATGCAACTTACCCATGTTTACCCAGAGGACCAATGCCAGATATAAACATGCAACTTACCCATGTTTACCCCAAGGACCAATGCCAGATATAAACATGCAACTTACCCATGTTTACCACGAGGACCAATGCCAGATATAAACATGCAACTTACCCATGTTTACCAGGAGGTCCAATGCCAGATATAAACATGCAACTTACCCATGTTTACCCCAAGGACCAATGCAAGATATAAACATGCAACTTACCCATGTTTAACCCGAGGACCAATGCCAGATATAAACATGCAACTTACCCATGTTTAACCCGTGGACCAATGCCAGATATAAACATGCAACTTACCCATGTTTACCATGAGGACCAATGCAAGATATAAACATGCAATTTACCCATGTTTAACCCGAGGACCAATGCCAGATATAAACATGCAACTTACCCATGTTTACCACGAGGACCAATGCCAGATATAAACATGCAACTTACCCATGTTTACCACGAGGACCAATGCCAGATATAAACATGCAACTTACCCATGTTTACCCAGAGGACCAATGCCAGATATAAACATGCAACTTACCCATGTTTACCCAGAGGACCAATGCCAGATATAAACATGCAACTTACCCATGTTTACCCCAAGGACCAATGCCAGATATAAACATGCAACTTACCCATGTTTACCACGAGGACCAATGCCAGATATAAACATGCAACTTACCCATGTTTACCAGGAGGTCCAATGCCAGATATAAACATGCAACTTACCCATGTTTACCCCAAGGACCAATGCCAGATATAAACATGCAACTTACCCATGTTTACCACGAGGACCAATGCCAGATATAAACATGCAACTTACCCATGTTTACCCCAAGGACCAATGCAAGATATAAACATGCAACTTACCCATGTTTAACCCGAGGACCAATGCCAGATATAAACATGCAACTTACCCATGTTTACCATGAGGACCAATGCAAGATATAAACATGCAACTTACCCATGTTTAACCCGAGGACCAATGCCAGATATAAACATGCAACTTACCCATGTTTACCACGAGGACCAATGCCAGATATAAACATGCAACTTACCCATGTTTACCCAGAGGACCAATGCCAGATATAAACATGCAACTTACCCATGTTTACCCAGAGGACCAATGCCAGATATAAACATGCAACTTACCCATGTTTACCACGAGGACCAATGCCAGATATAAACATGCAACTAACCCATGTTTACCCCGAGGACCAATGCCAGATATAAACATGCAACTTACCCATGTTTACCACGAGGACCAATGCCAGATTGATGATGAATTGATTGTTGTTGGGTGCTAGCCATGGATGATGCGCTTCCCCGTCTCCGTAGCAACCTTGCAGCTTTATCCCTTGCATGGCTCATATCAGAAGTAGACATAGCTACTGCCTTATAAAAATCCGACCCCCTGCTAAAACAATTTGAGATTTAAATTTTAAATATTTTTACTGACAATCAGAATGGTAAATCTAATAGGTTTTGGTCAAAATGAACATAAGTCTAACAATTTCACGTTTTCCAACTGTTATTTTTAAAATACTAAGATGAATGCAACGATCTGATGAAGAGAATTGACTTAAATGGTTAAGAAGAGATGTCATTTCTACAGCTTCAATTTTTAGACCTTAAAATGTTTTAGGGGCCATATCAAACATCAAAATGTCATATTTAAATAAACTAATGTGTTAGTGAGAATGGGGAAAAGATTTTTCAGAATAAAAAAACATTGGATATTGAGTAGGTATAATAAAGTAACTGCAACATTCCACTAGGTTTCAACAAATTAATTATTTTCATAATTTTTTTAATGCTATGATCTGGTCCCTTGAATAGCTTATGATAACATTTTTCTTTGGATAAAACCAAGTTCAAACCTCTCAAAAATATTTACAAATCCATATATCTTAGAACACAAAACAAAACCCAAGTGTCAGTCTTTTTAGATTGTCATATTTTGCCCAACTTGGAAGTTTTCAAAAAAAGCTTCTGTAAATCAAGGGCTGTAATCAGAAAAAATGAATCAAAGGGGAGAAGCTGATTTCTGCTGGAAATTCAACAAATCCACAAAATTGATTTTGTCACTAGAAGGTTAATTGCTAGATGTATATGAGCACGGTATGGTATAATCTTTAAGTTTATGATTTTTCTTAAACGATACAGCTCTAGGGTGTGAGATCTACTAAAAAGGCAAACTGTCACCAGTGTGCAAAAGTCAAACCTTTTGTTAAAAATCTCAAGAAGTGTTAATCTACATCTTGGCCTGTAATAAATGCAAATTTTGCAGATTACAGGCTGTGTAAATAGCATCTAGATCATCCAAGATGGCATTGACATTCATGGCGTAGAATAATGGAAATAACGTCACAACGCATGCGCGTAAATCGACATTTCATGGTCCAAAGATTTCAATGGAGAGCAGTCTTCATCAAAATTTAAAATCTTAATAACTTTTTAGCAAATCATTTATTTTCTTAGGATTCAACGGATCCTTGTTAGACCCAACGAAGTGTTCATTTTGATATATAAAACAGCAAAATCCATCCACAGATCTTTCGGCCTTTTAATGATTTAATTTTCGGGATATTTTGCTAAAATCCCCCATTGGCCGCCATTATAAACTTTGAAAAAACCCAAATCCTCATCATTTCATATCATTCGTTAAGTGATCTAAACAACTCCAATCGCTTAGGATTCAACGGATTCTAAGAGATCAAAGCTAATACAATTTGTTGACAACCCCCGTTTCAATATTTGCCGCATAATCTTTCGGCCTTTTAGGTTATAAATTTGTCAATATTTTGATTTTCGACCATTAATGACGTACTTGGATCCGAGATTCATTGTCACGGGATTCATGACGCTATTTCCATTATTCTACGCCATGTGAAAGATTGTGCATATACAACAGGCCAGTAGCCAGAGGGGGAGCTGGGGAAGCAGAAGCTCCCCCCCCCCCTGGCCAGAAATTCTTTCAAAATCATGCAGTTTTTCACCATTCTGAGAATTTTCACATGATTTTTAGCCAATATTGTAAAAATCTCCCCTTTCTGATAAAAGCTGGCTACGGGTAAGTACAATATACAGTGTATCTTACTGAACGCAGCTGGTTCAAAAGCCAGACTTCTGTCAGCTCGGTAGAGTAAAGTGTATCAATTTGAATAATCAAAATTATTTCTTGTAGAAATATTGTCATTGAGAATAATACGATTTCAATCATTACTTCAAACATAGATGATAATCTTTATATAGGGCCTTTCAAAAGCTATACAAAATCGCATTTGTGACTCACAAAAATAGTTGTATAAGCGAGATAATCCACTTTTCAGGAACTTTTCAGACCAAGTCGATCAAAATCCTAGTTGCGTAGAAACTGGAAGCCATTCTGAGGCTAAAAAGCAAAAGCAATTAACCACTTACGACAATCTTTTTTGGAAAATTTTAAAGAAATTCATTGTTATTCAAACAACATCACATGAAATATAACATTAGAACGAATCTGAAGTTTGTTTGAAATCAATTTCGTATCATCTATTGTTTCACTAGTCAATATTGTCGTAAGCGACTAATATGATTTTACTTTACGGTCTCGCCCTCTTTTGACCAAATTCCGGTGGAACTTTTGCCCGGGAATTTTGAACATTGAAATGTGTTTTTCAACATCACGGTGTGTGATCAAAAGATTTTTTTGTAAAAACATTAAAAAACCTCACAATTTATTTGTTTTGAATTTTGACAAATCATATTCAAGCCAATCAGAACACATTACTCAAAATATTGTGCATTCTATATTTTTGAATTCAACGTCTAGGACGTCTGTGGAAGCCCAAGTATACTTGGCTACCCAACTATTCCGACTCTTGCACAGGTTTCTCATATTACACATGTCCTTAGATCTTGTGTCTCATGTTTCCAGTTACAAAAAATCTCGATCTATTAAACAGACATAAACATGTTTTCAACTATGTTTTACGAGTGTTATTAATGTACTAGATTATAGTCTTACATGCACAACGGAGCGTTTTATTCACGCGGGAAACACTGAAACACCGCGGAGCGAAATAAAATGGCGGCTAATGAAGATTCCTCTGGTGGTGCAATTTTTTCAAGAGAAAATTTACAATTGAATTGCTAAATGAATAGGTGCAGTACACGGGGAAATGCGTTAGGGTCTTCTAGGATTTTTTGAACTGATGGACTTGTAAGATTCAAGATCAAGGCCTATTAAAAAGGCGCAGCGTCACCAACGTGCAAATGTCAATGTTTCTGCTATAAATCAAGCAAAATGGTCTGCAGGACCTGTAATAAATAAATATAAGCAACGTTTTCATCAAAAAATTAATGTCATAGTCGGTTTTTTAAAATAAGTTTAAAAGATAATCGAAAATTATTAAAATTGAACGGAGAGGAGTGAACAGAGGCGGGGGTGTATTTGAAAAATGAACTCAGTTACTCAGTAATAATTTGATGTTAGTACAACTCTGAAAGGTGAAAAATAGGGACATATGGAGTTATTGAAAATAAAGTCAAGTTAGATCTCTTATCAAATGTCTTTATAGACACATTACTCCCCCCGCTCCGTTCACTCCCGTTCGTTCAATCTTAATAATTTTCGATTATTTTTTATATAACGTAGTTTTTAGTGTGATAATTTATCAAGCTTACAGGTCGTGTAGACCCATGTTGCTTGATTTATAGCAAAACACTTGGGCACTAAGAATTCCATCAGTTTAAAAAAAATCCTAGAAAACCTAACATATTTTCCCGTGCACTGCGCCTATTCATTTAGCCATTCGATTGTAAACTTTCTCTTGAATACATCTCCAAGATTGTTGAATTTTCTACTGAAAATCAGCTATTCCCCCCACTCCGTTCATTTCGTCCGATCACCGGGCGTGCCCCCTTGTTAGCTCCTGGATCCACTAGTGGCAGTTGAGTGAAAAAACTAGCTAGAAAGGTGTTTGTGCATGTCAAAATGTCAAACCTTGCAAAAGAATACGGCCTTGCAAAAAGTTTCTGGTTGAATTTGAAACAACACGATTTTACTGCAGTCTTTTCGATTTGCTTAGCGTGACAACAACCGTCATGATCCCAATTTTCATGTCAGTCGGAGGATTTATTGGTGGAGTGGTCCCAGATTTAATTTTTTCAGAAATGGCCAGATGACTGAGTGTCGCTTTTGTTATTTGTATTGTGTCGTGTGTTGCCCAGCTTTTATTCATATTTTTTATCAAATACTGACACTGTACATGTTGGTCTTTTGTTCTGGTGACAATATCATGTTTCTGTGGAGTTTTTCTTATTTTCTGTTTGGTAAAAATTGAGAGAGATCGACGATTTCAACAGAAGAACTAAACATAGATACGCATCGTGGTAAGCCACACCCTCTCCATCTCTATCCTTCTGCAACAGAGAGAGATGCTATGAGGGGTTTTCGGAAAAGACCGACCCCACCGACCACCGACCGGTCGGTGTTTTCCACTGGTAGCCTCAAAACAGGGTTTGAAGAAAATGTGTAAAAGACCGACCATATCATGTAAAAGACCGAACATATTTGTAGCCTTAGAATATTAATAATTTGATTTTGAATGTCAATCGTTGGACTAGGCAACGTTTTTTACCGATTTTGTACCTTGCAACGAATGGCAAGCAAACAAATTGGTCATGACCGTCTCCTCTCGATTAATTGCCCTGCCTTAGGTCCTAACCTATCATTAACCAACCTATCGTTTCTACGGGAATCTATCCTAATTTTTTACTGAAATTTAACAATTTCGAAACAAAAATGATTTGTTATCGTCATAGCCTACTGAATACTGAACACGATATAATGTTACATGCGTTCTCTTATCGGGATTAAAAGTGACCTACCATTTCAGTACACCATTAGAAAGCTTTTTTTTGTCATATCAAATGTAGTTTTTACCAGTTGACGTTTAACAACTGAGAAATCAAACATAACGTTACGACGTCAACATCGACGATGTTTGTGTGTTTTTGTTATTGCGTTTCATATGAATGAAGAATGAACTTAATGCAATGTTACGTGCGTTTTTTTCCAAAGTGACTAACCAACCAGGATGAAATTGGTCTTCTAACAACTGAAACATCACTTAAAAATATGACATTACACACCACGACGATGTAACGTTTTCATCGTGATTTGAAATGATAATTATACGTTTTTAAATCACGACCTAGTAAAGGTACTATATAGTCATTGGATTCCCAGTTTTAGTTTTACTTCTAATTTTGCATTTTTTCATCTTTATGTAAAAGACCGTCAGCCGACCACTGACCACATGTACCCAACTGTGGAGAGTGACTGGTCGGTGGTCGGTGGTCGGCGGTCGGTGTTTTACGAAAACCCTGCTATGAGTATCAGAATGATAGATACGTGATATCGAACAATGCTGTGTTAGTTAACAAAATTGCTAATCATTCCATGCCGTCTGACTGTTAACACCCCCTTCCATAAGTTTAGCATCCGAAAGTCCCATTTTGGTCACTTATCAAAGCAAAATACGCTCCCTTCTATAAGTTTGGCAACCTGTAAATCCGATTCTGGGTCATGTATCAAAGCCACTTTTTGTTTGGCGATTCAAAAAGGTCATCAATTTTGTTTTAAATCACCAAAAAGAAACAATTGAGATTCGGGCATTGACAGGATTTGATATAATGCTATCCAATGACAACTTGTGTTTTCAAACTAATATAGGGGAGTGTAAGTGACTCAGAATTGACTTAGTTTGTGTTTCTTTGAATGCAGTCCATTTGTTGATTCAATTGATTTTATTTTTCGTTTCTCTACTCTCCTACTCTTTTTATAGAGACGTTTATGGGTGTCTATTAGGGGAATTTTTTATGACTGGTTTTGAAAATAAAAGTATGTTTTGCATTTAGCGTTCTATTCACACAGAAACAAACGAATTCACTTTATTTGAGAAAGATTTTTCGGAGTATGAAGGTTGCCTGTTTCATATATATTTTCCTGTACCATATACATTTTAATCAAAATAAAGTTTTATACTGCCCCCCCCAATGTTCCGGCCCAAACCCTTTTATTGTTAGCTTCAGCGATGAGATTGAGAGCTTTTGATAATGCAGATGTTTGTTATTCTACTTCATTACATAAAAATCCTTTTCAGCATTGGTAAATTACAAAATTCGAAATCAAAAATTCAAGCACAACCTTTGAACAACATACACAGCCATCTTTTTCCAACCAGGCACAAACCGAGACGTACACTAATCACATAACACAATCAGGCACAACCTGCTACCCGACCAGCATAACACAATCCCAACATTCCTCATATTGGACATAACCAACCGGTCAACTAAATGGCATGGGGATTATGATATTTCTCAATCCCCTGATAACATAAGTTTGGCCATCGAAACTTGTGGTACATGAAATACTAAAACTACACCAATTTATTAAAGAATAATATTTTCTTTATTCGTAATATGGCATAAAAATACATGTTTTAAATTGCAACAGGGATGTCCTACGACCCATCAGTACAGCAACTAATACCATCTCATCACATAAAATTGTATACTTCTCAAAAAAAGAATTTTGGTTAAGGATAATTGATTTACATGCTAGATACACTGTTTATTTGTTAAACACACTCACATACTGTACATCATGTACGACATGATGCTACCCCAATTCGCAACATCACTTTGCAGCACTGTATAGTGCTGTAAACGGTACTGAACAGTGCAATTCAATAGAATTCGAGTACTGCACCTGTGCACTGTGCAGAAATCTACAGTGCTATTTTAACAGCATTTTAACAGTGCAGTACTGTTTTTACAGCGCACCACAGCACTGTTTTGGAAAACAGCAATATACAGTACTGTTTTAGCAGCACTGATCAGCTCTGTTTCATAAATAGTACTGCATAGTACTTGTTTAGATTGCGGTTATTACTTCCAATGTGCATGAAACTTTGATTTGAGCTGACATGTTGAATACTCTTAAAGGGTTCCGAATAGCATCCCATATAAAAACAATATGGCGGCTCCAGGCGAATCAACTGGATCAGTCCATTTTTAAGAAATAAGGGGAGTTCTGTAAAATCCAGTTTATTGAAATTGTCTTTGAGATAAAGTAATCCGTTTATAATGATTTTGAAAACGTTATCCAAAGAGTGATTGCGTTCAAAGAATACATGTACAACAGCCAATATAAATCCTTGTATTAGAAACCGATTTGTCTTGCTTTGTTTCATTTGTAGGATATTTCATATGTCAAGCTGTGTGCTATTACGTTATGGGGAAATTTAGATGCCAATTTTTCCTTATTATACACAAATAGAAGATCCTGAAACTTCATCCATAAATGTGGAATTGATTTGTCAAAATAAAAATCACCCTTTTATAAATGTGTGACGATCTATAATATACTTATGCTATATAACAGTTAGAGGTGTTGACACTACGATCTCGAACCTGTGAACCCTTGAGTATTATTCCGGGATCGGGCCTTTTATACTAAACGGTGAGCAACACCAGAAACGAGGGTTCGATTTGCTAAACGATATGCGTCACCCTTTAATACACTGTGATCATGTGCTTACCTTGTCAAACATTTTACATTGCATGGTATACCCAGGGTCATATAAGGAAAATCATGAAAATATTCCCACCCATCTATATGTTGTATAGTGCACACCAGGCCCGTAGCCAGGATTTGCCAAGGAGGGGGGGGGGGTCATTTTTTAAGAATTTCTGGGGGTTCACTTTTGACAACTTTGACACAAAAAATGCTCAGAATGGTGAAAAAAAACCATTAATTAATATACTTGTACATGGTCACAAAAACACCGTTCATAGCAAGAAGACAATATTACATATTTTATCTACTGGATTAGCTTGGAAGATGTGTTTTTTTTAAATACATAGATTACATTAATAACAAATAATGTCGAAAAGGTAGCTTATGAATTTGTAGATCTTAACCCTAAACTAAAAAAAAACAGCAACTCCACGGAGTAGCAAATCCAACTGAACAAAACATATTTTGATTATTAGTGGCCATTTTGAATTTCCTTCTCGAGCAAAACTTGTTTGTCCCTAGGCATCAACGTATGAAATGCAAACCATATCTGTCAATTAGCATTTGAGTTATCAAAGATTACATTAAATTCTTACGAAAAATGGCAGCCATTTTGAAATTCAGCCACCATTTTGAAAATTTTTCTCGAACAGAACTACTGTGTCCCTAGGCATCAGCATATAAAGTCTGTTCACATACAGAATCTGTTCACTGGTATTTGAGTTATCAAAGATTACTTTTTGTTACGAAAAATGGCAGCCATTTTAGCATTTAGCAGAAATTCTAAAAATCCCTTCTTCAACGTAGCTCCTTTATCCCTAGGCATCAGCAAATAAAATTTGAACCAAATCCGTCAACTAATATTTGAGTTATCAGAGATTACATTTTTTTAATATGAAAAATGATGGCCATTTTGAGCTTCATTGGTGCTTAGGCACTAATATAAAACTAAGCATCCCTAACAATGCTCATACATTTCACCAAAAGAGGATTTAATCCTTTGGGTCTTTACAGTCTGTACAGTGTTCCATATCATCTACATAGTTCTCTATTTGCATTGTGCACTCATATATTCCAAATCTTGTATATATCAACTTTGAGGCTTCTTCTAAAATGTCCTGTGCACGTACGGTTGAAACTGGAAAGAATGAACAGTAAAAGTTATAAGATATAATGCAAAACATTGAAGAGTAAAGGTTATCAGATTTAATGCTAAAATTGAAGGTGCTAACATACTATATAACAATAAAACGGTAAATCCAACATTAAATGTATAATTTCAAACGGACAACTGACTCGGGATTAATCTAAAAAATATATATGCGAGGCAATCAATGACAAAATGTCACCACCTGATTGCAAATTAAAGAATCACCTTTAATTTCAAAAGTGTATAATCAAGATTGTTTGAACAGGACTCCTGCCAAAATGGCTCAAGTAACACTCACCTATGGCAAGATGACATGACAAGGCAACTTTGTTCATAGTAAGACACCATAGCCTGATATTATGAACATCTCTTACACCTTTAATCTCAAACAAACAATCCTTCACTGCATTGTAGTGTATTCCAGATGGAGTGGCTGAAATCATAATACATAGACTAGAATAGTATTTAATTTCATAACAAAACATTAACTATGAGCTAGTGAGCAAATTTCAATTTGTATATTTAATTATTGGTAGCGCATCTGTAAATATTACTATATCTAGTAGATCTAAAATATTGCTATTTAATTATTAAAAGCATATGAAATGTTTCTTTGTACTAGACTACATGTACATGCACATAGACCTTGATTTTTATCATTAAATGGATGGAATAATGCACAAACCAATAGACAAATGGCTTGTCTTTGTATATGCTTTGTACATGGGATAAGTACAAATAAAAATATATCTACATATATCAAACATATTTCTAATTACCTTCCATTAAAACCCTTATAATATCCTTGAGAATTGTAACTGTTGTGAACAGCACCAGAACAGAGAATATAAATGTACATATGGGATCTGCTATTTTCCATTCAGGCTGAAATTTGAAAAAAGAAATTATAAGAATACATGTAGAACAGGCTGAAATTTGACAAAACATTGTAAGAATACATGACAGAAATATAGGATCAGCTATTTCACATTCAGGCTGATTTGAGGAAAGCTTAATAACAACAGAAGTATAATTTGTAAAAGAAATGAATTTCTTGAATACTTGATGTAACATGGTCATTTTTACATTTTTATACATCTACTATTCATGGTGATCAATCCCCATTCAGGTCATTTTAACAGGTCCCTTTGCTTGTTAGGTTTTAATCCCGTTGTTTATGTTCTTTTGTATGTACTTTGTATGTTCACTTTCACTTACTTTTCTTTTGTTTAAACCTGTTTTGTATGTTGTGTCATGCTGTGTTTGTTTTATGTTATGTTTTATGTTCCATATTTGGTATTATTCACTCACATCTGAGTTGGGGTGTTGCCCCAGTATTTGTCAATAGTTGCCTAGAGGTATATGATAGATTGTGTACAGAACACTGTGTTTTTGAAGTTGGAAATATATATTTTTTGAGACATTTTACTTAAATCTTACGTTTTATTATTTGCCACCCACGGCCTTCCATCGCCCATTTACAATGGTACTGCGGGTGGGGTGAGCACGAGCAACAGTGTAAGGCAGATATATTATTAGGCAATCAAGGATATGCAATTAGTAAACAAGAAGCTGTCAAAATGGAGAAAACGATTTCTGAAACTTTAGGAACAATGACTAACCTTATGTCATCTTTCTTTGAACACTTGGATAAAATGCGAAGTGATTTGGAAAACATCAATGGATATTTATTTCGTGACATGCAATACTCTTCAATTCAAACTTGTTGGTTTTGCAAAATTCCTGGACATCATAAAGCAACATGTAAGAGATACAAGATGGCACGTCACTATTGTTCATTATGCGCCACATATGGACACCGTAATAAGGATCATTGTGAGCCAACAACGAATACTAATTGCATCAAAATTCCGAACAACATGCACCCTGACCTTAAAACGGCATCCGTGCGAACCAAGAAAATAAAGGAAACTGACAAACCGAACCACAGCAAGTATTCGCAGACACAGACGTTTGACATGGATAAATATATAACTGCTGTCAAAAACTACAAGAAAATAGAAAGCGAACTTTATGGACAAAAACATGGTAATGACATTTATCGTGAGAAAATTCGCACAATGGAGACGGATACAGCTGATCTTAAATTACAATTGAAGTCACAAAAGAAAAGTATTTTATCTTTAGAAGAGGAACTCACTGCATATGCAACAAATGATCAAAAAGCTGATTTAAATCCAGATCATCTAATATCTCAACTACAGGAATCGCAGAAACTTATTACATCTCTTCAATCTCGGAACAACGAATACTCGACAATGATACGTGATATGAATGCTAAACTCGACAATCAACTTCAGAGAAATATACTGGTTGGAAAATGTGATTATGCAACAAATTCAACGGATTCAAATTTGGACCTATGGAAACTTGGACTGCATATGTTTGGAATGCCTCATATAGCCCCAAGTAAGTGTAAAACTAAAACCACTGAGCAGCCATTCGACAACACAATATGTAGGTCTTAAGAAGATCAACATTTTATCTACAATGGAATAAGAAGTTACTTGATTACGTCATTGCACAAACTCATAAGAACTGCAAACATTTATTCATACTATTCTAGTATATTTTGCATTAAGAACATGTTATTTAAAGGGTTGATTCATTTGAATGAAAAACCTTTAGCTATCAGAACATTTCATGGTGTATTTTAAGCCTAACATGGTGTGTAATTCAAGCTGTAATAGTGTATTTCAAGCCTTTATGTGGTGCATATTAGCCAATATGGTGTTTCCTAACATTGCCTTAAATGGTGTTATTAGTAGCCTTAAATGGTGTTATAAGTAGCCTTAAATGGTGTACTTATAGCCTTAAATGGTGTAGTCATATAGCCTACATGGTGTTACAATTTGCCTTTTATGGTGTTAAACACGTATATATAAGCCTGAAATGGTTTTGTTTAAAATATTCTTTGAAATTTAAATTGCTTGTCATTTAACTTAATCAACACTTCAATTCTAGAGATATGTAATATTGTGCTTTATAATTTTGAAGGTAGTGGTTGTTTAAGGGGAGGAATACCCTCATTTTTATACAGAGATGTTATATTTCTTTATAATTAGTAGTATTTAAACTCTCATGTTCACACTTTACATAATGTATACTTGATATTAGTGGCCGAATAAGGTTTAATGCGGGACGCATTAGGACGTGTCCGCGTGGATGTAACATGGTCATTTTTACATTTTTATACTTCTACTATTCATGGTGATCAATCCCCATTCAGGTCATTTTAACAGGTCCCTTTGCTTGTTAGGTTTTAATCCCGTTGTTTATGTTCTTTTGTATGTACTTTGTATGTTCACTTTCACTTACTTTTCTTTTGTTTAAACCTGTTTTGTATGTTGTGTCATGCTGTGTTTGTTTTATGTTATGTTTTATGTTCCATATTTGGTATTATTCACTCACATCTGAGTTGGGGTGTTGCCCCAGTATTTGTCAATAGTTGCCTAGAGGTATATGATAGATTGTGTACAGAACACTGTGTTTTTGAAGTTGGAAATATATATTTTTTGAGACATTTTACTTAAATCTTACGTTTTATTATTTGCCACCCACGGCCTTCCATCGCCCATTTACATTAAATACATGGCTCAATTTATATGTTACAATTATAGTTTGAAAGAGATCAATTAATGGGTGGACTTACCTTGAAATATATGATAAAAGCTGCTATCATTACACCAATACTCTGTATGAAATCACCTATAACATGAATAAATGCTGCTCGCACATTTATATTTGAAGAATTATGGCCATGTTCATTTTTCTGCCCAGATTCTGAGTCTGAGCTTGATTCATCATGACTGTGGTCTCCACCCCCATGACTGTGGTCTCCACCCCCATGACTGTGGCCTCCACCCCCATGACTGTGGGCATGAGTGTGAAGTGTACAACCCATTCTGAAATAAGAGTAAGTATTAGCATGGGCTTTCAACTAGATTAGTCAATGTAGATAGCAACTCTTCATGTACATCTGTACATATCTGACATGGACTGTAATAATTGGTTCATGACAATCGGATTTTTGAGCTAATTCCATGAAAAATTCTCTATTCCAGAATTTGCTTATACAAATGATGAAAACTGTACTGAGATATAATTTGTATTTAAAAAAGAAGTTCAATGATATCATATGCAAACTCACATTTAACTCTTATAAGTTTCATTAATTAAAGGCCCTATGCAAAGTTTGAGAATCAACCAAATATTATGTTTCATGACTTAAAAACTTGAAAAATTGTGACTTTTGAAAAAAAGGTCGTTCATCTTGTAATTCTCATAAATTTTAATTCCCGCCATTTCAGAAAAAAGTTAAGATTTTTAGATCAAATACAAAACTTAACACTGTACAACACATTATTTTGTTTACTCCATTGAATAAATCAGGCAAGATCATTTATATTATTTCAACTATTCAATCTATGATTTCATGCATATACAGCCCTGTACTAAACGTTTAAATCACTTGTGATGTCACAAGGATATGCTGTGATGTCATTCAGGTGGCAAAATACTATTTTTTAAAATTGTTATCTTTAAGAAAGACATTTTATCATAGAAGGCCACAGCTGCAAGTTCTGCACTTTTGCCAGCATTTTTCTGATCTCTCATAATTTTAATAAAACTAGATTTTTAAGAAATGTCTTTTTATTAAGATTGACTGATTTAAAAGGCTGATATATTGCGTATCATTCAGCAAATAGGTGGTATTTGTTGTATTTTTATCTCAGGATATTCACTTTCTTTGAGACTCAGTAACATAATGTATTACTCACACAAAATTGAAAGCAACTCCGACACCTGATGTGATCAGCATAATGGTTGCATTAATCTCATAGTCATTTTGCATCACTCGCTGTATAGCTAGGAACACTAATATCCCAGTTACAACCCATATAAGCAGCACTGACAGCAAGGCACCAATTATTTCTGGAAATTAAAGTAGAGTAAAGCAAAAACATGTCTAATTGTACCCAGGCAACAGCATATAAAATTTGAACCAAATCCATCATCTAGTATTTGAGTTATCAAAGATTGTATTTTTGATTTACGATTTGAAAAAAAATGAAATCAGTCTAAACAGTATTTGTTAAGTTATTGGAAGTTTTAAGAATTTGTTACAGATGCCAACCGCCAACCACCAACTGCAGATCGACAATCACCAACCGCCGATCACCGCCACAAAAAATGGAGACCATAACAATATGTCACCACTTTTTGGTGGTGACATAATGATTTATTATCAAACCATGAAACTCCAAACTTGGACAGTTAGATTACATACCTGTGCGATGCCATCCAAAACTTAGCAATTTTGTTGCTGGTCTACTTGCTAAATATATGGAAAGTAAACTGATCATGAAACTTGCAAAGTCTGTGAGCAAATGGGCAGCATCTGTCATTATTGCCAGGGACCCAGCCAAGACCCCTCCTGAAAAAACATTAGGAAAATAATTAGTAAAACAGCTCCTGTAGTAGCAAATCATTTGTAATTTTGGAAACTACACAACCTTTACAACTTCTGTGACTTCTGAGAAACCTGCACTGTGAAATACATTACAGGGTGTCTCAAACTTGTAATTCATGTTATGCACTTGCTGTACCGTACTGTCACTTTTGGAAATCTGACTTTTGATTATATATATCACTTTCTACATACCACTTTATTTGATTATTATGTTCTAATTTAACTCTTCTTCAACATAATTTGAACATAGGTTTAAGGTTTTTACAACTGATTTTCCTTTTAGATGGTAGTAGATGGTAGCATATTGTGCATCCTGTTTGCTACCTGAACAATATGTGATTTAAATGTTACATTTTGGAGCAGACTTAGGTTGTTTGTGCTCATTGACATTTGCAAATCAATCAACACCAATAGAATTGGTTGAGTATGAAGGTTTGACTTATTCTTGTAAAACAAAAAGAACAATTCAGCACCTTTCCAGCCTGTAATATCCATTTTTTTTATTTATTTAATAAGTTATCATTCTTTTTGTGGATTGGTTCAATTTTTAAAAATGTCAACATTCCAGGAAAATGATTTGTCAAAAATATCTCTGTATTAAAGCAATTTCACTGGGGATCAACTGGAAATGATAACACCCAGGCAGACTTCCAGTAAAAGATTTTGAGGAAACCTTTGTTTTCTTAATTCTATCACTCTCCTTCAAATTTCAACTAAATACAAGGTGAGCCAAAAAAGGTACGCCAAGCAAATATTAATAACTCTGTCATATTTAGCACAATTGAAATTTGTACAATGTTTTTTCATTGGTCTATTCCCAATGGTGAATTTTTATGGTCATTTTACGAAACATGCTACAAAATACAGGCATTATCTCTGGAGGCTAACTTGAACTTATTAGGCATAGTTGATTTGATTTGATTTGAACTTAAAACATTAGTTTGCTACTTTGTCTCAGTAAATCAATGGGATAATCAGGTCCTACATACTTTTTACAGACCCAAAAATCAATGCTCGCTTATAAATGTAGCAAAATCTTTTTTCGTTTGTTGGATATTTTTCTCACCATATAACCGAACGGTAAGTTTTTGAATAGGACTACATGATCTGAATGGATGCGAGGATTCGATGGGCTGGGATTTGAGATATTATGATTTGAACTTTGTCAATTTTACATGTATTTCAATGGGTGAAAAAGTAGGTTGCTTTCTACCTGAGAGAAAAAGATAATACAGGATTCTCATAGTGCTGCCATCTTTATATCAGCCCAGAACCTATGATGATTTTATTAACATATATTTATTTGGGTTACCTTTTTTGGCTCAACCTGTTTTAAGCACATATGTAGCATATAGGTTATGGTTTCAAAATATGAAAACACATCAGAAATAGAAATAGCAATTATTTCGACATTTACAAATCAGTTCCCTTGCTTTGGAAATGAAGACAATTTTCAATTTGTGAGCAATGATACGAAGAAATGTTTGACTTGCAACGAAGACATTCTTTTCACCATATACAATATCAATGTAGGAATATTCCTCTGGAGTCACATTTGCGCTTGAGAGCACACTGTAAATATCTTTGGAGGGGTCTTTGGAAGTCTTTTTGTGATTACATGTCCACTTTACTTGGTTAGTAAAGGATGGTGTTTATTGATACTATTTTCATGCAACAGAACTGACCATAATAGGATATGTGCCTTCCTAAGATGTCTGCCTATGGCTTTACCAGCACCCACTTGTCTGTAACCCCATCAACTTAATGTTACACTACTTACTTATTAATATGATCTAAAATATCTACCCAAACATGCAATTCACTGGAAAGCTTATCTTGTCTTCTTAAATCTTCCTTATAACACTGGAATCAAATGCTTAGAGACTAAGGAATGTCAACCAGAACAAACAGGACAACAATAAATTGAAGGGCATTTATTCCTGTTCTGAATTAAATGATTGGACTTGGTTGGCAATGGCACAGTACCACAGGCTGGTATCGAAAATTTTGTCCGCGGTGACGGAGCATGCTATTTTTCATAAAAACACTAAGAATGCTTCACAATTTATTTTTTAACTCATATGTTTCGTTATATCAAAGATAATCACTTACTCCATGCAATGGATATATCATTTGCGTGTAACCTTCACTTCTGTTTGAAGTCCAATAACGCTAGGAGTAGAATCTATTGAAAACGGCGCCAGAGTATCAAACTCTAAAATGAACCATTTCTTTTTTAACTTTTTAATGGCATGATATAGTGACACGTTAATATTAACATGTGTTTTCAGCATAACTCTGAATGTATTAATGAGATATTAATGCATTGGGTCTTTTTAATTTTTTTATAAAAAATAATGTTAATATTTTTTGTCCGCTGTGACGGAGCATTTTCACAGTTCACATTTGCAACTGCTCCGTCACAGCGGACAAAAAAATTAAACATTATTTTTTATAAAAGAATTAAAAAGACCAAATACATCAATTTCTCATTAATACTTTCATAGTTATGCTGAAACCATGTGTAAATATTATCGTGTCACTATATCGTACCATTAGAAAGTTAAACAAGAAATGGTACATTTTGAAGTATGATACTCCGGCGCCATTTTCAATAGCTTTTCTTCCCAGCGTAATTGGACTTCAAACAAAAGTGAAAGTTACCCGCAAATGATATATCCATTGCATGGAGTAAGTAATTTTGTATGGTATAACGAAACATATGAGTTAAAAAATAAATCGTGAAGTATTCTTAGTGTTTTTATGAAAAATAGCATGCTCCGTCACAGCGGACAAATATTTCCATACCAGCCTGTGAGTACATGCAGATATATTGAATGGTAAACAGCACACAATATGAAATATTTGGCACATACCACAAGAAGGTCAATCGTTAGCCAGAGACATGTAACTTTATGAACAATAAACTATGGTCACACCTGATTGCCCATGTCATTATGTAGGTACAGTATTTGAATTAATATATTGTTGTAGCTATACTATTTTGTCTTCTTTTGGCATCCTCTACTGTTTATACATATATGGGTTGCACAGGTAGTGGGCAATTTTTATTGATCAAAGAGTGGTCAACTATTTTAACTACTGATCAGAAAATGTGTAACTGGCTAATCTTTTTACGACATCTTCATGATAAACCAGACAGAAATGATATTGCAAACACTGCATCTTAGGTACACCAAGATGCGAGGTTAGACTCCCATATCTCCAATTTTAAAGAAAAATTGTAAACTAAACAGATAAATTATAGAACAATTTTAACATAGATAAATAAATATTATATGTAATATAATGGCTTTATCAGAGAAATTGGAGTTTTTTTGTTTTTTTTTAATTTTTATATTTCCTTTATTTCATAATACATCATACAAACAGATACAGGGCCTACGCCGAAGCATTATTGGCCCTGTTGAAGTAGTTACAATATAAGTTAAAATAGGTCACAATGTAAAGATGATAGATATGGAACATATTTACGAAGTCTTTGGTGGTTTACCTGATTCTTATACTGTTCAAAAACATTTGAAACATATGAAGGCATCTTATAATTATTTACAAAGTCAAACATAAAAACTAGTTTTTTTTCTTTTCTTCGATTGAATAAGGATCTCCATCCAAGACATGCCATCACCTTCTCAGAGTTTGACCCTTGGATGCAACCACTTACAATAAGACCCGCTCTATATTGGACTCTATCTAAACTTGCTAAGAGGTTTAGATTTGCGCTGTCAAAAGTAATATTGCCATATTCGAGATGTGGGAGAATGAATGCCATATAAATTGTCTGTAAGTGTTTTGATCTTACTGAAAATTTGAGTGCTTTTAATGGATTTAACATTTTATTACTAGTAATCACTGAGTTAATGTGATCTTCAAAGCTAAGGTGTTTGTCTAAAATGATGCCTAAATGTTTATGGCTATTTACAAGAGGTATTTGCTCATTATTCATTGTTACTGGAATTTGTTTCTTAACTTTTCGTGTGTGTTTAGATTGAAAGATAACCTCCTTACTCTTAGATGCCTTAAATTTGAGTTTCCATTTAGTGGACCAATTAGCCATTTCATTGATATCTGATTGAATTTTTTGATTTGTTGTTTCAAATTGGAGTCTAGCCTCTTTCAAGGCTTAAAGGAATATTCCTTGCCAAACCATCTCTCCTCATATGGTAGCTATAACCATATATTTGCTTGCCATGTTTAGCAAAACACGCAAAAATGTTTTGATATGGTCAAATTTGATCACTTAGAAATGTGATGCTCAATTCCAGTAAACTGCCATCTTTTAAAATTTCACACAGGAAGTGATGTCATTGACTCTCAACTTTGCATATAGCATTAGGTGAGGAGCTATTAAGAATTACAAAACCAGCTAAATATTCTTTTTCAACTTTGTATCTTATTTAATCCTTCTGAAAATCTCTTCTTTTATTCTATGTTGACAAGCCCTGAAAATATTTTTGCACAGAAAGTAATGATCACTTGTCTAGAAGTGATTTTGTGCTACTTTCCTATACTGTTATGGGCAAGGTTATAGAAGTTGAGAGTTGATGACATCACTTCCGACAAGAAATCTTAAAAGATGGCAGCTCACTGGAAATAAGCACTAGATTTTTAAATGATCAATATTGACCATATTAAAACATGCTAAATATGGAAACTATATACATGATTATAGCTACCATATCAAGAGAGAAAGGGTCTGGCAAGGAATATTCCTTTAAGTTGGTTTTAAATATTCTCGCTGGGAAGTTGTGGCTTGACTTGCCAATCAGGACAGCCCTTGACCTAAACTTCTGACCAATCAGAGACCGAGGAGAAAGGATTAGATAGCGTGGGTTTTCAACAATAGGAAGACGCAACAAGATTTCGTAAGGCTGTTGTTTTTGTTTTACCACTGATATAAGGCTTTTAGGTAAGCATATATTTTGTTTTTCCACCATCTGAATCCCCTAACACCTCCTTTGTTAGACAGGGCCATTTTTATATGCCCCATCTAATTAATATCTGTTTGTTTTTACAACATCTTCTTATTCCAGTTCAAGAAACTGCAAGCACTGCATCTTAGGTACACCAAGATTCGAGGTTAGACTCCCATATCTCCAATTTTAAAGAAAAATTGTAAACTAAACAGTTAAATCATAGAACAATTTTAACATAGATAAATCTCTTTATTCGTCTGACCATTATAAACATGTCTCTCAATTTGCAGTCTTGGTTCATATGGTTGGGATACAATTATGAGGGTTCACCTCTGAATAGATCAATAATTTTATAATTATAACTAGATAACAGCAACTCAGCGGAGTAGCAAATCCCAACAAAATATCAATTACCGAATTCCAATCAATTATACTCATTACTTTGGTTAAAATTGAAAAAATTAGATTTTAGAATTGCGAATTCCTGTAAAGCAGCCATTTTGAATTTTCTGAGGTACAAATCTGAAAAATAATACAATAATTGTGATCTACTCTAAAATTCCTTCAATTTGAGTATAATATAGTCATACTTTGAAGGGATCGAAAAATTATTGCGAAATCGTACATTAGACGGCCATTTTGAATTTTACGAGGCTCAAATCAGAAAAAAGATACAATATTTGCAATCTACTCTTAATTGCCTTTCATTTGAGTATAATAAAGCTATACTTCAGAAAGATCTAAAAATTAGCAAAATTTCTGTTTTCCTGACCCCCCATACACGGCCCCTGGGGGTCAGGATGAAAAACACAGAATATATGTGGAATAGATAAATGTTGTGAATATACTACCAAAATTTCAAACAATAATATTAATTAGTAATAATTACTAGGTTTAGAATGAAAAATTTATGATTTTTGCGAAAAAATCCTGTCATTTTTAAAGCGGCGGCCATTTTGAAAATTTTTTTTTGCTTAAAACTATTCATCAATATACATCTTTCCACTAAATATGAAGAAAATCCGTCTACTAGTATTTGAGTTATCTTCCGGACAGACGGACGGACTGACGGATGGACGGAGGGCTTCACTATATCCCTACCGAACTTTGTTCGTTGGGGTAATAAGAAGTGTGTATAAAAACATAAAGAATACTATAAAAAGTGTGTATAAGTGATTTTTTGATTGGCTACACTTACCGACAATCTCTCCAATCATAAAGACAAGACATAGTATTGATGCTAAAATTAGTTGCCGTCTTGCCTTTTTGTCAATCACATTGGCTGGTTTGTTGGCATGGCAATGAGCACCTAGAAGTAGAAATAGTTTTTGAATAATTCAACCTAGTTGATACATCAAATCTGAAATCTGAATCTGTAATTATTATATATGCTATGAAAACAACTCATGATTTTGAATATGTGTAAATTGATGCAATTTATCAAACAAGATCAATTTTTAAGAAAAGGTCCAATATTTTGAAAATGTGTTAAGGTAAGGTCCTTATTCATGGTTTTTGGGGGAGTGCAGGGTAGCAATATCATACCTGGTCCTTTATATATTTTGACGAGGCTCTACATATTATGTGCATCTTTTAAAAACTTACTATTGGATTCATCACTGCCATCTATACTGTTGTAGGTGGCCCTGAAAAAAACATATGCAAAAATAATTAGAAATCATCTTTATTTTAAGATCATTATCTTCAAAATTGAGTAAAATCAGTATCACATTTGATATCTCGTATTATATATACACGTACAAAATGACATGTAGAAATTAAATTCTAAATATTGTTTATCAACTTTGAAATTTTAATTTTATTTGAAAAAGTGACATCAAGGTCATCGAGATTCCGAATAAAATCATGAAAATTGAATTTTTTTCTTTAATTGAACAGACAACAAAGTATTTCTTTAACTGACATTTTTTATTTTATGGCTTATCAAAATCAAAAAGGTAAGATGAAAATTGATCTATGATTATTCAAGTTTTGATGAACCCGTTTTATGCCTCCCATGTTATCTACTGTAACCCAGATTAGCGGTGGGTACTGCAGATGTTTCACGAGAATTTCTCACAACAGGCTAAACAAATGAAAACAACAGGCTAAATTATTGGATATCATAAATTTAACATGGAAAAGTCCCTAAAAACAACAGGTGATTTTGTGAAAACAACCGGTGAAGATCGCCTGTTGCCTGCTGCTAATTAAACCCCTGTACTGGTACTAGTATCTTCTTACCAGCACCTTGCTAATTAATTCACACAATCACATGGACTATAGATGTGACATTGTTATTATTAGCTTATGCAATCACCCTACTTCAAGTAGGATCTTCCAGGATATATTCAAATTAACCCTATGGACCCTGGGGTGGTACTTAAAATTATTGTGATCTTAAAATGTTAGTCAACCATATGACATATTATTCACCTTTCGATTAAGTCACCTCATGAATATTATAATGAGCAGCTTAAAGATCTGTGACGTCAATGATAGAATTTTTTGACGCGAAAGAACAAATGCAATTGAGTTTACATGTTAATCCTGGGTTAATTGCTGTCAAATTGTACCACTTCAATGGGTAAATTATTAGAAAATTAATGTTGATTTTTCATTAAACAACAACTTACCTGGAATACACCCTCAGAAATATATACAGAAATATATTTCCGAGGGATGTATTCCACGCATTCCTCAGAAAATATATACAGGTATTGCACTCAACAGAATTCAATATTTGTAGAGTATTTATTTGTGCAACCATTTGTGAAGATAGAGATTTAGTACGTAAATATTTAGGGGGCGAGTGTCTGAAATCGCCGTTTGTTTTCGATAATCCGCCCAAGTTTTGGGGGAAAATTAAAAGTCTTCTATAGACTATCCTTTATTTTATTCAGCGATCTTGTTTTGCACTTCCTTGTCTATGATTTGTACCTCAGTTTCGAACTGCAAGGGAACTCACTATAATCGTAAAAATCACTTGATCTCATTATAGTAGTAAACACCGTCCAATTTTTTACCCGTTTTGGCTATGCATTTTAGATCACTATCTGACCACTATCATGTGCATGATAATTCAAATTCCAACCTTTGGTATAATCAGAGTTGGTTATTTTCCACTGGACATGCAGTTACATGTATGATTGATACAAATCTGTCCAACCAGTCACCAATGTAAAGTTCTATAAAGTCGGTTAATGTAGTTACATAAAGCTTTGGGTTTAGTAATATATATTTAATTAAGACAAATATAAGATATACTCATATATGATCATTATCTTGATATGTTTACAACTCAAGAGTCTCTATTTACGGTTTAATATCTTAATTGTACATATTTTACTCTATCAAAATACCAGTGTCATATAAATTACTGAGTGCCACTATAACATCACCACACTATGTTGATGGCATGTTGTCATGCACTGTGAGAGTCCCACTTCGCTGAATAATACACATTGCTGAATAACGATGTTGTCCCACTTTGCTGAATAATACACATTGCTGAATAACGGCATTGTCTCAGATATATGTCCCCTAGGTCACACTAAGAACGCCACTTGATATCAAAAGCATGAACGCCACTCATTCAGTCTCTGTATAAGCACATAGGCAACTAGGCAATTGCATCTAGTATTCAACACATAAGCACCTCACATGAGTATCAGATTAATTTTCATCTTGAATTTCTAATGCTGCTGCTTTTTGTACAATTGGGACCATTTTACTTTTTGAGTAACAATCTCGAACCACTTTGGCTTCTATTGTTGTCTTATCCAATGTTATCAAAGTGTGAAATGTGAAACTTTTTATTAATTTCAAAAATGTTTTTGAAGGACTTTTTGTTCAAAATATCGTGAATTTATTTAAAACTAACTTTAAGCTAAGATGTCACACTTATCCTTTAAAGCGATAATTCACACCGATGCATAGCAATCATCCTCACTTGTTTTTTTGCCCAAAAAAATCAAGAAAATTAGTTGATAAATAGTTTTATCCCATACTTGGACGTGTTACAGGTACATAAAGTCGGTTTGTAAAAACTTATATTTTCATCAGCGGGCAGATATAGCTTTACGTCCCGCTCCGAGCGGGCAGATATAGTATATCTGCCCGCTACGTCATAATCGCCGCTCGCATATTTGTATTTGTAACGTTCGCATAATGACTGTAAACTACAATGCATGGAGAAAACACAGACAATCGGGATCTGTTTGATGGTTTAAAAAGGGAAAGAGCATCCACTTAATCAATCAAAAATTTGAGAAAATAAATGTGCGAATATTTGAGAGAACAGGAAAATCCGCCCAAGGCCAAGAAAACAAAACTGGACATGAAAATTCTAATATTTCCACGATTGAACAATGTGAACCAGATGACCAAGATTGATATGGGATAAACATATTATCCTATAGTCGGTTCAGGATATTGGGATTATCCCTTAGCCAATATAATATATTTTCCCTCGGGACCTGCGGCCCTCGGGCAGATATATTATATTTGCCTCAGGATAATCCCAATATCCTGAACCTCATATAGGATAATCTCTATTTACGTCCCGCTCTGAGCGGGCAGATATAGTATATCTGCCCGCTACGTCATAATCTCTGTTCCCGTATTGGTTCTTTTTTTGTAACGTTCGCATACTGTAAACGACAATGGAGAAAAACGCAGACAATCGCGATCTGTTTGATACTTTAAAGAAGGGAAGGAGCAGTATGCCCCGTTAATAATCAAAGATTTGAACAGGAAAATCCGGCTACGGACAAGAATACAAAACTGGACATGAATATTTTAAAATAATTCCATGGTTGGTTGCAAAGTTTCTGAACTTTGGCCAATTGAACAATGTGATTTGTATGGGATAAACAGATCATCCTATAGTCGGTTCAGGATATTGGGATTATCCCTTGGCCAATATAATATATCTACCCTCGGGCAGATATATTATATTGGCCTCGGGATAATCCCAATATCCTGAACCTCATATAGGATAATCTCTATTTATTTTTAACATAGTTTGTCCGTTGTTCAATCTTTATATTGGTGTTAAAAAGATATAGAGGTTCTTATTTGAGTACCTGTGCAAGATCGTCCATTCTTGATGAGCTTTCATAATTCTTCTTTATTGAGTCGCAGACGAGATAAAGAAACATTATCAAAGCGACTGTCGGATAAACTATGAATGTAGTTTCGCACAGGTGTCAACGGAACCAAACAGTGAACCCCGCTTTCCCGAACCCGAGTTTCCAGGATTTGCCTCGCATTCCTTCGCCTCTTTCTCAAGATTTGAGCCCTATATTGTACCCCTACCTTATCATCCTGGTGTCTCGTTTATAACACCCTTGTAATTACAATGCGAAGTTACTAAAGCATGATAAAAAGTGTATGTGTGGATGGGGGGAGGTTTGAACCTCCACTTGTATACGTATACCTTTATATACTCAACAGGCCAAGTATTAACAGTACAAAAGGGAGAAAAAATCCATCAGGTCCATAATTCTACACATTCACATACAAGTTTAAAAATCTTAAATGTATTTAGAACTACGCCTTTGTACCAGCGACACACTTTCACAGGTGCGTCTTTACAATGATACACAATAACGAAAAGTGCAACTTTAGGATCTTGAAAAAAGTTGCAATATCCTTCCTGGTTAGAATAGGTTTCCACGTTCAACTAAAAACACTATATAAAATAACTATCTATACACCATCAATGCAAATATATGCTTTCTTCCATTCTGATACTCATAGCATCTTTCTGTTTCACCTGAATCATCTCAGGGCTGAGAAGAAATGAGATGTCATGATTTATCATGATGGCTTTCTTCGAGAATACATAATGCGGTCATGAGAATGTGGGATGTCACATTCATTGCAACACACCTTGCAACAATGTCTTATGAGGGTAATTTCTTATATTGAGAAGTTAATCATCTATTGAAATTAAATACTTGTAGCTACATCAGGCCTGCCAACTGTCCCGCAATTTGCGTATTTGTCACGCATTTAGAAAAATTTGAGGTGATCAAAGTTTGGCAAAGGTGCTCAAACTTTGGCCAAAGGTGTTTAAAAGTTGGCCAAAGGTGTTCAAAATTTGAACAAAAGTGTTCAGATTTGGACTTAGGTGTCCAACATTTGTAAGTCACTCATATTAGGTGGTCCCAAGTTGACAGCCCTGCTACATGCAAGTAGCAACACATACAAGTCTTCCATGCAAATGGAGGTGTGAATTCACATTAACAAGTTAAGATAAGATCCACAATATGTTATCAAATGGTTAAATGCGCAAAATGTGTAGATATGTTTTCCTTAATAATGTGTGAGGAGGGCTTTCAGGCAATTTTCGAAAACGTAGTGAGAACAAGTTTGGTGTTGAGGGGAGGGGGATATCTCCCACCTCGGTCTCTCTCTAATGCCTAGGCCACATATGCGCCATTGGCGTTCTCCATGTTTTGAATGGATGAAGGTTATTTGCGGTGTTATTTCACTAGACCTAATAATTAATTGTATTTAGCTAGAAATCCGATTGTACATTTTATTGAAATGGCAACTTGAAAAACGTTCGAAGTAAAAGAAACTCAATTAAGTTACCATATAATATATTTATGCTTTTAAAAATATTTTGCTTATGTGA